CGTAAAACAACTCCGGCCGAATAAAAAAAACGAAATTCATAATTCCAGGAATACGATCATGTGATGGTATACACATGAAGGTATCGGTACTAAAATCAAGATTTGTAACTAACATTTTACTGGTTGATGTTTGGCCAGGCACCTACTCAAAAACCGAAATTCATAATTCCAGGAATGACGTACACGATATTGTGATATTAGTACATAATTTGTAAAGTCAAAATGTTAACACAAAATATGAAATAGTTGAATTAGATAACGTAGGTACTCGGCGCCATGGGCGCTTATTGCTCAATGACATGTTTAGACATTTACGACAACACTTCTCTGCAATTATTATGTAATATATATAACTCGCTCACAACTCGCAAGTTGTTGGATCGTTGTTTTTGTTAAACATTATATTTATGTTCCTGAAGGTGGTTTAATTTCACGATTCTAACTTTTGAGTTTAATGCAAGTGCAACAAAACGACGCAGCGCGAGCCACATTTTCAAAATCCTTGGTACTGGTAGTCCTTTTCAATATTTATTTAGTCTATGTAATACGTAAGCGCCATGAGTTGGCACAGAATTTTTTGTCTCTGATTTTGATAAATTTGGTACCAAAAGTTGCCTCTAAGTGTGAATAATGCAAATTCACCGTGTAGCAAAATAACGTCGAGCTATATGTGGGTCTCCTGTGCATTACAAGAAATGAGAAAGGACGAAAAATGGGTAATTTATTGCTTAAAATGCCCATTACTCCTAAAATATTGAATATTTTGAAATAATTATTACAGTATCGTAATGAGCTTAGTCAGACGCAACTTTTGGTACCAAAATTATAATATTTGAAGCACCAAATTTTTCAAAATTTTTTCAAAATTCAGATTGAAAAATTTTGAAAATAATTTTCCTTTAAATCTTAAAATGTTAGTACCAAAAGTTTCGTCTCGATGAGCTGATTACGTTGCCATAATAATTATGTGATAATACCTGAAAATGTGAAAGTTATAGGCCAAAAACTAAAATTTGCGCGAAAAAAGCACGCGCGGCGAACAAGCGCCATGTAGCATTTTTAGCAAAAATTGCTACACGGTGGATTAATTTTATTCACATTTTTAGACAAATTTTGGTACCAAATTTATCGAAATCGGAGAAAAAATGTTCTGTGCTCGCGCTTGGCGCTTATTACACTGACTAATAATAATAACATTTATGACATTCAAGTGCATTTTAAAGCAATTTGGCCTGAATATAGAAATAGAAGTATGATAATATATATTCCATATAAGGCCTGGTCAAGTAGCTTGAACTCTGGTGACGCGGTAACGAGATATCCTAGTCAGTATTCGACACGTTACAAATGTGATCACGTGACCGAGGATTTGTACGAATCATCAATCAAGGTCACGTGATAGGATCGACGGTCACGTGACTTCAGTTATCCCTTATATAGCACATGAGTAGCTGCAACTGATCAGCTCTTAATTGGGCTGCAATCTGCAATCATTGACAGGCCTATAATTACTCATTTTTCAATGACCGATATTTTGATTTTTAATACGATTAGAGCGTAAAGAGAATGCTTCCCGGAATCAGCACAATGAAGTGAACCAGATGCTGTTCGACTTATATCTGATATGTGATGACTGAGTAGATTGTCAACGAATCAAAAGATGTATCACTACTGCATCATCAGCGCTAAATAGCGCTAAAAACAAGAAAAAACGGAAAATAATATTATTTTCTGTTTTTTCTTGTTTGTCAGAAGAGCGCAATTAAGAGATAACCGCTGTCTTTTAGGTTTTTATCTGCGTATATATTCATTAAATTCGTATCAAGTAGTCAATTGTCATTATTCGATCAGGCAACCTTATTATGTAAAATCAACTGATCGAATTAATTAAAAAAGTTAAACACGTGTATTAAGTTGAATTAATATTAATTTTCTGAGATATTATTATTAACGCGATTCTTCTCGTATGTATTAGCTGGGTATTTAGAAATATGGTGACCTAACTATTCGATCTATCTTGTCATCTCAAAAACAAGACCATTGTTTCTGCTCTACAAATTTACAAATAGGGGAATTTTTTCTTTTGCTAATTAACTTGCAAACAATTAACAGATAATCAAAAACTAAAATAACACATATAATATATTAGCTGGGTATTTAGGGATATGGTGGCCTACAACTACTCCAACACTACCATGTTTGAGATAAAGAACGATGCACTAAGATACACCTGGGCTGGTTGGTATATCCTTGTGATCCTTAGCTCGCTCCTTGGAGACACCACCATCCTCTACTCATCACTAAGACACAAAGTATTTAAGTTGCACATCATCATTGTGACCCTTATCCAGCAAATAGCTGTGATTGATTTAGTGCTCTGTGTCTTCTGGGTGGTGCCAAATGCTGTTTCAACGATCATGGGAGGCAGAGGTTGGGACCTTGGAATGCCCTTTAGTTACATAAAAGTGATTGTAAGCTACCACTGCTACCCAGCCGGCACATTACTGGTCTGTGCCTTAACCACTACCAAGCTCTTGATGCTTATATACCCTCTTAGAGCGAGCACTTGGTCGAAGAAGCATGCCTACAGAGTTTGTCTGGCTATTTGGCTCCTGTCTCTCTACAACCCAGTTACTTTTCTTATCGTAGATAAGGATGATCTGTACTATGATGCGAGGGTTTTTCACCTGCTTATTTCTACGGCATAGCATTAACAGTGGCACTCAACCTCAATCTGATTGGAAACTTTTTCACTTACTTCTTTACGGTGACTGCTTTCAGAGTCTTTGTCATCTCAAGGATCAAAGAGTGGGCAACTTGCTTCAAAAAACTTCGTGGTCAAGAAGGTGAGATTGTTAGCAACTGATCAGAACAATGTGCTCAATTCATTTTGTACAGTATGTACCTGCTCTATCAAATATAATTATAAATACAGTAGGGCGATCATACGATATTTCTTGATAGTGCAGCCTCGAGTTCTAAATAAAAGCATTTAAGTATTCACCAAGGACATCCACATAATTATAGTTGAAGGCAAATTACTACCGTTTTTAATATTCATCATCAGTTAAAGCTAAACAGTCTTATAATTGACCATACAAATTTGCTTAAAATTATCTCGCCCCCATGCAGGAAGCAGTGTTAATAGCACGGTCAAAGTCTCACAAACTCAAAGCTAAGATGGCAAGTACGTACGGTACAGGGCTTTAAGTACGTACGGTACAGCTACTTTTAAAGGTACGTACCGTACAGGCCCTATAGGGTACAGACTTTTTTGGGGAAAAAATGAAACTTTTTTCAAAGTTAGTGGAGTACTTGCAATGTTCCTTTAGTATTATCATAATTTTATTTGAGGTAGTAGTCGAAGAGGAACATGAATTATTAAGATAGTAAATTAACAGTGAGAGATAAAAATGAACAGTGACAGATAAAATCAGTATCACATTTTAATGTGCTTATTGGAGTAAATAAACACTAGTTTTTCAGCAAGCTGAGGCTTCAGCCTCAGCCTTCTTTTATTCATATAATAAAATATTCATATAATAAGATATTCGTAGTCTCTAAAGTTTGTTTCACACATTAACGAGGATGCGCTAAAAATCGCGTAAACAACATCTGCCAACTTTTTCAATCAACATAATTCAAAGCGCCAAATCCAATGTCACATGGTCCAACCCTTCTTGCTTCTGGAACATTCTTGTACAACTGCTCTAAATCTAATGGTATAAATTGAAATGCAGCGATGAGCGAATTCAGCTTCCATGAAAGTTGTCGTGTGAACGTGGTTTTTGTGCATCTTTTTGCAATTGCAAGCATTGTACCTTTCAGCCCAAGTTTAAAAGTACGTACCGTACAGCTATTTTTAAAGGTACGTACCGTACGTACTTGCCATCTTAGACTCAAAGTTCGAGGATCTCAACAAATCTTACACTTACACCTCAGAAACATCCTGTCACTGCATGATTACGGTAACCATTAACATCGTGTTTTTAAAAACTTGGGTTTTAAAACATTTTATCATATTTATTTTTTAGATAGTTCAGTTGAAATACTACTCAGGATTTAATGGTATACAACTCTAACTCTAAGTCTACAGCCCTGAGTCCACACGCGGGTCGCGGCTGCTTTTGAAATTATAATATTGATTTGCCATACGATATTAGTATAACATATGTGATAGGGGTCGTTCACATATTACGTAATCAGCTGAGGGGAGGGGGGGGGGGGGGGGGGTTCCGAATGATTACGCTAGTGTAATTTTGGCACAATAGCTATGTGTAAAACTGATGACGGAGGGGGGGGGGGGGGGGGGGGGTAAAAATGTTCCAAAAAATGATTACGTAATATGTTAACGACCCCATAGTGAAAAGGTAAAAAATACCGTTCTCGAATACCATCAAATCCGTAAAAAATCACTTCGTCCCACAGGTATCACGGACACAATACAAGGTCTGCAGAAGAGTTATTTTCCACAACCTCAACATTGCATAAATTTCATCCAAGAGAAACACTGACTTCTGTTGTAATTACTGAAGTATTGGCCAGTTAGCACGAAACGCTGTTCTGAGGCAAAGGCGAGCTTCCATTGACTCACCACAAATGATCTACAAGACTTTATTTGACTTGAATCATGATATTTTAATTTTCTGTTTCGTTTTCTTTTAAAAATAACCAATATCTGCAAGGCAAGGCACATAATTATATTTGTTTTTTATTTACTTTATTGGTGTGTTGCAACAGTTTTTCATCATGAGCACCCGATTTTTCGTCAGTTTTTAGCTTTGATTGATTTGAATAAATATTCACGTGTATCGCTTGACCATTTCCAGAATTTTTCCCTCTTTTAGCTAGGTATCAGAATTTTCATTCGTTTTCGCTCCATCTTGTCATTTAAATAAATCTTGTCATTTAAATTAATTTCAGCTAATATACAAATTATGGACCTCCGCACTAAATAAACACGATTTCCGTGTCACCGATTACAAATAAAACTAATTACATAATTTCAAAATCCAAATTAAAATGTGCAGGTTAACAGATTCAGTAAATAATAATTACTTCATAGGTAAATACAGTGCTGTATTAGTAACTTATATCATCTTTTAGTTTTAATTAAAGAAGCCATGTGTTTCAAGATCTGTTTAAATGATTTGACGACTTTCCTACAATAACAAAATCCTTATCATCTTTCTTTAATTGCGATTTTTACCAATAAAATTACGATTTACCAACAGATTTTATGTATCTGATAATCTATCATCACAATTCATTTCAAAACATGTGCCCAAACCATTTTACGAATATTCGTCTGTGAAAGAATTCCATTAATGTAATCAAAAGAAGACGAGCTTGAAATGTTTCAAATTGTTATTAATGACCAGGGAAAGATGTGTATTTACAAAATTTACATCATGTTCTTAATACTTAAATACACGGTTTGCTATTTTCAATTAAATTACAGATGAGAATCTGGTTGATCGAGTAATCGGCTACTATTCTGATTGGCTCATATTTACGATTAAATCATTAAAAATAATCGACCTTCGCAACTTCTCGGCTGTTAAGATATGGAGTTTAGTGTATTCGGGCGCGACCAAACCAATAATATCAATATAAATAATCATATCCTTCCAATACAAACAGAAAATCATATGAATATGACGCGGTACTAAGTAAAAAGTTGACAATAAAATAATTCATAAACATTGTGTCAACAAAAAGATCAATAATGATGTTTAAGATAAAATTTTCGATTTACTTAAAAACAATATCAAATTTAAAAGAAGGTTAATACAAATGGTGTCGTACAGAACGTATAAAGCTTAGTCATATTAACAATTTTAACAAACTAGGATTATTATACCCAGTCTAACCAACAATAGCATTCATTCAAGAACACATTAGTAAAGATGTTATTAAGTGCTATCAAACATAATTTTAGCTCTGTAAGGCATCCGATCCGGGAAATATTGGAATAATGCCTAAGTTGGATCGGGATAATCTCAAAATACCTTTAGTTGACAGCCTAGACTCTGTACTTTCCAGTCGTTGTTGTTAGTTTAATAAATCTCAAATGGTTAACAAACTGAGCCACACCCTTACCAACATTAAATATATAGAAATCAGTCTTATATAACCGACTAATTATCTAATAAAATCATTAGCAACCAGTCAAATATTTAATTATTTAACTTTAATGTTTCTCTTTTTTCATCTTTACCATGATGCCGATATAGGTTTTCATTAACCGGGCGATGTCTAAAAATTCTGGAGTGTTCATCTCGAGTGGGGCGTGGCCTTCTATCGTTATCTTGAACACATTTACCTGTGGTCAGTTAGATAATTAATTAATTAGGTAATTATAACTTTATTAGCTAATCAAACAATTGATAAATCAGTCCAAAAGTTTACCATTTATATCCAATTTCTAAAAATCGCTTAATTAATTACCTGAGGAGCCCCGAAGCTGATAATACTATCGTAAGTGTGGACTTCAAGAGGTAAGCTCTTCTGTCGAGGGTAAATAGCGATGTCATTCCGTCCGACTGCTAACCATAACTCTGTCTCCCTGAACCTAGGGATGGGCGAGTCACGTGACCAGTATAAATTGTGTGCTGATATTATAGTCTATCCGTTATCAATTAGATAGTAAATATATAAAAAGTTGATTTTAAATTAAATTTGAGCTGCTCACTGAATGTAAATACGTTGCAATTAGTTGGCTAATTGATTATTAATCAGTTAGCTAATTGATTATAAACTACTACCCAAGAAATTGTGTAACTACCTGTTGTCGATGATGAGCACGTCGAATATTCCGTACCCGAAAGCTAGCCATCTGGTTGTGACCTTCAATAATTCTTGTTGGGCAGCACCTGTTAACGGGAGATGTTCATTAGGGGACTAGTATAGAAAAGACAAGGAATCATGAAAACAACTCTCAATTTCACCCCACAGCTTCCTTTCTCCCTCACCCACACACATGAAACATGGCGCCACCTACCTTTGCTAAGCCCAGCCTTAGTTTTCCAATAATCGTTAATAGTATTCTTAACTTTCTCCACTTCCTCCTGCATCAGCAACTCATCTTCCCTCTCTGTGTCTGTGTACAGGTCCTGATGGGGGCCAAAGGTCAGTTACCATACGTTGGTCTTTATAGCTCAGTCAACGAGTGTGCGATTAAGATAAACTTCAGTAGATATCGAGAGAAGAAAATCTCTGACAGATATTCATACGTATTACGTACGTGATGGCCCAAATATTTCAAATTGCAATTTAAATTCTAAGCAAGAGTTGGATTAAAATAATTGTCCTTAAAGCCAGGGGTAGAACTGCTAAAATACCTTGAGTTTGCGAATAGTTCCTTTACCCAACGTCCCCAGTCCTCTCAAAGTACCGGTGTTCTTCCTAGACGAGCTGTACTTAACCTCAGGGAGGGTTACTTTGTAGATATCTGATACGGTAAAGTTCTTCTCAGGGCTGTAGTCTCCGTATAGGTACTGACATCTCAACCCTGGGATAAGACTGACCTCACTATCTGAACTAGTAAGTGAATACTTGGTCGACTGATGGAAACTTAAATCAAAGGGAAATATTTAACTTAGAATATAATAGAATAACATTAACAATACTGAAATAATTGATAAGTTCCGGTCAGCTGATGACGGGTCTCGACTAATCAAATAACTAATTAATTAACTAATTAACTAATAAAACTAACCTGCTAGTTCAGTCAAGGAGACCTTGTCATCAGGACAAAGCCCTCTTCTAATCTGATCACAAACAAACTCGTATAAAAACACAAGCTCTAGCGGATCACATTTAGAGATGTTGAACTCTACGATCCCGAAAAGTTTGAAAAAGACAACCCAGCCCTCTCCTGCTGTTTTACGCTCGAACTTGGCTAGAACGTCGGACATCAGTGTTCTATCTTCTATCACCTAGGAAACAGTAATTTAACAGGAATTATGTATACAAAGTAAATATAAATTAAACTGTTAACGGTTATTTTATTGTAAGAGGGAGCACTTAAACTGTCATCTTCACTTTATTTAAAAAAAGTAAGTGTTGCCTTTTGGTTTTATATCAAAATAAACAAAAAGAAACATCACTTAGAATTAACCCTGGTTACAAGTGCTGTTACAACAATCCAAAGAGACGCACATGAAACCTTGTAAGTAAAAATAAAATACAGATAATACAATATTTACCTTGTAAATGTTGCCCTGTTTCTCGAACAGGGCGTATTTGTTATGTCGTGGGTTGAGCCCCATACCGCTGAGGAGCCGCGCAACTGCCACACGTGCAGTTAATGTGGGTGTTACCGCGATCTTACAGTTCCATCCACCGTAACAACTGGTTAATAGACAGGTAGTTATTTTATTGAAGAGAGGGAACATTCTCCTACACACAGGCCAATGGTCTAAACAAATGTTGAAATTTATCAAATGAGAAGATTATAAATGAGTTCTTACACTAATCTTCTCATTTGATAAATTTCAAAGAAGATTAGTGTAAGAAATCATTTATAATGGTATCGATGTCAGTATGGATAAAGTTAATTGACAAACCTAATGCTAGCAGGCATGTCCTTGAGGAACATGAGTTTCTTCAGTTCCTCCCTGCTGGGCACGTACTCTCTCTGTTTCACCCCCGAAGAGAGGAGCCCCTCTGCGTACACTGCAAACTTGTACATCTCCGTACCGGAGTACTTGCAAGTGTTGTGCTGCACGTGGTACTTCAGGTACCTGGCCAGTTAATTAGTTAATTGGATAATTGGTTGTTTAATAGATTTATTAAACTTTTAATTCATGAATCAAACGAAACAATTAGCTAACAATACGTACGCGCACCGGGAGTAAAACTCGTGCTGGAGCTATGTACACATTGTACACTGATCAGTTGGAAATCAATTGAGAAGAGTCAGTTATTTTAACTGGCCTTTAACTGGCACTTGTCCCTTAAACAAAGGAGTTCCCACCAAATATTTCAATCACTAACCTGAGTATCTTCCTGGAGGGTGTATGTGTGATCAGAACACACAACAAGAACATCCAATACCGCAGATTCTGCGGGTTGTCCACATCCCGCACCCAACTAGTCTGCTTTATCAGCTGACAGTACAGCTCGTCTATCAGCAGGGGTGAGTCGAACAATAGTCCCAGCTGTGTTTCTGTGGAGGGTGACGTTAGTTGTGGTGTATTGCTAGTAGGTCACTAGTAACCTTCTAGTAACTCACTAGTAACCTTCTAGTAACTTCCTAGTTCCTAGTAGCCCCCTAGCAACATGTATTGCTTCGTTAGTTCAGTCTTTATGTAATGATTTCGGATACTTTCTTTGCACAATGTACATGTTAAATGTTAATAGAAACCCAATTGTGGGAAATTGAAAATATAAGTTTTATAAGCTCTATTTTAAATTGTTAGAATCGTTATTTTAACTGAATAATCATGACAATATAACAGAAAGTTAACCTATAAAATCGACAGGAGAAGTTGCTCCCTCGTAGTTGAGGAATGACTTGTAGATGGAGACAGCTTGTTCTTGAAGTGAGGTGGCGTTTGTAGCGGAGCATGGTCCTGGAGAGGGGGGTTAGAAGTCTAGATTATTCTATAATATTCTATAGGAGAGAGGGTCAGACAGTGTTTGGATTCTAGAATATTTTAGAATATTCTAGAATATTCTATAGATTTTATTTTAAAAGGGTGTTAGGATCTGAAACACTTTTAAGTTTATGTTTTATATATTAGTAGGAATCTTGACAGAAAGATTTTTTAAGAAAATTAACATTGGTAATTAAACCGATTGATAACTGTTGGACAGTAACAGCAAATAATAAGGCGCCTGAAAAGTAAATAAGCTGCTAATCAGCTCATCTACCAATTAACCAATTAGCAATTAATTACCATAAGGCAGAGCAAGTATAGGTGTTTGTATAGCTGGTTTAGTGTATCTGAGTATGGCGTTAGTTCTGTAAACACTATCTATTTCGTCACTTTGTAAGTTCCTCAGTTCAACAATAAGACGTTCTGTGCGGGTCTGGAACTGTTCCTTGCTGTGGACATAACATTTTGTTAAAGGTTTCGTTATCAGGGGATTCTTTTCATATTCACTGTCGTGACAATCAGGAACCGGACACATTTCAATCACTGATAAAACCATAAAATAAATAATTAAATAATTAAATAATTATGTAATTATCTAATTAATCACGTGACTGACCTTGTGATAACCTCACTGATATCATCAGCCCACTGGTTCGCCTCTGACATGGTCTTAACAGCAAAGTAGTAAGACCTCTTTCTGACATGAATGTAGAAACAGAAGTCCCCTCCATCTTCCACTGGGTTTGTAACCACACACAGGGAGTGGAGCGAGATCTTACCTGGTTATTATCAACTTAATTAATTGGATAATTAGTTAATTATCTCGTTATCATATTGATTGGTAATAATTAAAGATCGGTTTTTAAAATGATAAACAGCTAGCTAAAAAATCATTTGATGAACATCAATGAAGTTAGTTAGTAAAGAGCTAATTTTAATTATAAACACGCAACGCGCTAAATTCTAGCTAGAAGAGAGACAACCAGGAATACCTTCAACAGGACCATCTCTACGTTTAGACATCTCCAACCCTTTCTCAGTGAGGGACACAAACACCTTCCTCCTGATAATCTTGTTCTTGACTAGTGTCATGTAGCCGGAATGTAGCGCGTTTTGTTTCACGTTTATATCCTGAAGTAATATAGAGTATTGTGACGTCATCAGATTATTGCAGTGTGACGTCATCAGTGTGACGTCATCAAAGGTATTTCATTAACTCGGTCATCAGTATCAGTATAAGTAAGACGAATACCTTGAAAATTAAACAGATTAGTTTTATAAACATCATGCAGGTATAATTAAATAATCATATAATTATAATTATTACCTGGGGTGAGAGCAGGTCTATCCACCTGAACATCTCATCACTATCCTCAGCAGCAAAGTAGTGTAACCTATCATTAGTTATAACACAAAACACGTGGTTCTCTGCCTTGTCTTCTATCCGGTTACAGCTGAGGAAAGTAACGTTATCAGTTGTAGTGACGTCATCAGTTGTAGTGACGTCATCAGTGGTAGTGTAATGATATTTGGTGACCTTCTATTTTTTAGCTACCCTCCTAAACTTTTAACTTGCTAGTAAGTAGTAACCCGCTGGTAACCCTATTTACTCGAGAGTAAGCAGGCACTAGTAAACTAGTAACCTCCTAGTAACCTCCTAGTAACCTATTGGTAACCCCCTAGTAACTACCTAGTAACCTCCTAGTAACCTCCTAGTAACCTCCTAGCAACACCTACCTCTCTAGCTCCATAAGATCTATACTCGCTATAGCGTTTCTAGGGTTCATCTCCTCTTTCATCGTGTGTAACAACTCATCAGGTGTTCCGTGTACGTCTCTTAGTATTCTTAACCAGGACCTGGGAGGGGTGTTATTAATTTACTTAATAACTTACTTAGGAGAGGGTGTTATTAATTTACTTAATAACTTACTTAACATTAAGAGGGGGTGTTATCAATTTACTTAATAACATACTTAGAAAAGATGTTATTAATTTACTTAATAACTTATTTAAATGATATGTTATTTATTAACTTAATAACTCATTAGGAAGAGATGTTTTTCATTTACTTACTAACCTACTTAGGAGAGGGTGTTATTAATTTACTTAATAACTTATTAATTTACTTAATAACTTATAACTGTTATTAATTTACTCAATAACTTACTTAAATGATATGTTATTTATTAACTTAATTACTCATTAGGAAGAGATGTTATTCATTTACTTACTAACCTACTTAGGAAAGGGTGTTATTAATTTACTTAATAACTTATAACTTACTTAGAAAAGATGTTATTAATTTACTTAATTTATCATTGGTTGATTCAAATATGTAAATAAAAGCAAACCTATGCTCGTTCTCGTCCTCAGCTATAATCTCGTAAGTTCTATCAGGAGTCACAATACCAATATAGTTACTCTTGTTCTTATCTAGATTGTTCTCGAGGATCTTTACAGCTTGCCGTAGGTTTATACTTCCCTTTGATTCTCCACCTGGCAGCGAGGTAGGGGTTAGTGCTGTGTTAGAATGTGAGCTGAATTCCTGGTAAGCCTTGGGTTTCCTTTTTTGCAGGAGAGATATGTAATCTACAACCATGACAACCTCCGAATTTATCAAATTTCTTACAATACATATCGCTCAAACTGTAATAAATGTCACGAGTAATATTACACTAATTCAGTGTGGTGTAACAGTTGCAACACCAACGTTCAGAACAGATTCATGACAACACACAGTGGGAGAATCAAGTCACTAACACTGATGACGTCACAACACAAACTGAAATGGGAGAATTACCTTCAAACTCGAAGTAGCTGAGAGTAGTGTTCTGTAGAATGAAGAAACGGGGCAGCCAGTTTCTCCTTGACAAGGTTCCTTTACCACCACCCTTCTTACGTAGCCAACCTTGATTTTCGGTGTTAATATATGACAAAGTAATAACTTTTTATTAATTAATTTTATTAATTACTCTTTTAACATACTTAATCAAATCACTTTTGATCACTTAATTCATCAACAGAATTGTAGCTTAGTTTTTTATCTCACGATCTCGATTAACCTGATTTCAAGTAGTCCTGTTTAGCGTTGAATATCAAAAGTGAGTCTCCCTGTAGGATACAGAACTTTTGTTTCCATCTGCTCACCATGCTTGCTTCACGGACTTTAAGGTATCCTGGAGAAAAAATATTTAAACTATGTCGCTTCAAAACGTAGTAAGGTATTAAATAACTTGTTGTTATTCCATTTATTTACAACAATGTATAGTGTGCTAGAAGCTGACATTGCTCCAATTTTCATATGAGAGTAAATAAGAGATGCAATAGTAGGGCCACAATTACATTCTTAATAAATGAGTCCGGACAAACCCATCCAATTAACAACTCATTAGCTAATTAACAGACTAATTGTCTGGTAATCTAACCTGCATGAACAGGAGCTAAGTTCTCAGAATCTATATCCGGACCGTCCCCAGCCTCACTCATTGTATCAAAGTTGTCCTGTCCGTGCATGTTAGCGTACACATCTTCATCTTCCTGCTCCAGGTCCCACCATTCGTCTGTGTAGGGAGGACAAGGTTCATATAATTATGTAATAACATTATAATACTTTGTAATATCACATACTAATATAGCTATATCCAACAATAGTGTTCAATACACATTACACGTATTACTTTATTATTGTACCCACCTATAGCCTGCTCAGGTTCTCCATCCTCCATTCCCAGGTGACTATCCAGATCCTGCAAGTGTTTGAACATCTCTTGTTCAGCCTCGTCCAGGGCCACCTCATCGTCTGCCAGGCCCATTTCTTCTGCCTCGGCAGCTTCGGCAGCCAGGATTGCTGCTGCTCTCTCGTCCTCTGCACGCTTCTCTTCTCGCTCTTTCTCCAGTCTGAAGGAGGAAAATCAGTAATGATGATGTAGTGTTATTTCTAGGTGAATATCATTAGTTGGTACATTTTTTATAAGTTTGTATTCCATTAAAAGCGGCGACTGAACAGCACTTTTGTTACAGCTCTTAAAACAAAAAAACCAAATTACTTCTTTATTAGTGGTTCCTTCTTTGTAGGTTTTGTTATCGAATAAAATAAGCTTACAAAACAGCATTTTTGTGTAACGGAGCTCGTTGGTAAAAAAAAGTGGCAGTTAACAATTTATATCATGTAATTAAACTTTTGGATTAAACTTTGAGCGCGTATTTATTTGTTACTTAACGAGCTATTAACGAGCTTTGTTACCAAAGTACTCATCAGAGCGTGCAATATCTTGGTCTACGTCGACTTATGGGCACATAGAAACTGAAATGTCATTTAAAAATCTGATTCAATTTACGAAACATTGACGTTAAATCATAAGTGTCACAGAGGTCATTAAAAGAATTCCAAATCAAACTGATACTTTTGCTGATTGATCAGCAAGAGAATTAAAACAAACCTTTCTTCTTCGAGCCTGATTTTTTCTTCTTCTAGCTTCCTCGCTTCTTCTTCTCGTCTCTTCTTTTCCAGTTCTTCCATCTTTCTCATGGCTTCTCTCATCCTCTCTTCTTCGATCTATTTTCAGGTATGTATTTTTTAGAAATGACATGCATAGAAAAGTTATCATGCAGCTGATAGATTCTTCATTGAAAATTGATATAACGTCTCCTTATCTTAGAGACCAACTTAATGTAACAGTACTATACAAATAAAAGAGGATTAAACTCACCTTCTTTCGCTCTTCTTCTTCCTTCTTTCTTGCAGCTTCTTCTTCTTCCAACTCTTTACGCAGCTGATCCGCCTGTGATTGTGTAGGTTATAGATAAGACAATGATTATAGAGAGTTTAACTTAAACCAAATAAATACATTCTTCATAATCTACAACTGTTATCAATCTTCAAACATTTTCCTGTATGATTTAGTAAGCTGTGCATTCTAAAAATCGTAATAAAAGACAAAATAATATATGAATTATGAGTGGCTAAAAAGTATGCCAGATTTGAGTCCCTCCTTATTTTAAACTTCCCACGTACCTCCTGTTCTTGAGCCTCCTTCCTGAGACGCTCCATCTCCGCGCGCCTCGCTTCCAGAGCCTGGCGCTGTGATTCCAACTCTGCTTCCAGACGTGCGCACTTCTCCGCCCACATTTCTGCCACGAGTTGTCGTGCAATGTGTCCTGAGGGGAATAACAGTTGGAGTGACTTCTTTACTTAGGTTAGTCTCTTTTAGAGCGTTATTTTCCTTCTTCCTTTTCTGACTATCCTTGACTAAGCTTACTAAATTGAAGACCACACAGTTGTTAAGTTCAAGTCTGGTCAGTTATCAGTATTTTAAGTAACTATTATTATTTACTAACTTATTTACTAACTTATTATTATTTACTTAGTCTCACTCCTTTTTTAGCACGTTTGGTACTATAAATAGCACTAATCAGACGGAGAAGCACTATAATCAACTTACCTCTGACGTATTTCTGAACGACAAGAGCAGCTGATTTGGTCTGGAGGTAGAGTTTGCGGTAGAGATGGGCTCTGACAATACTTTGTACCTTGATAATGTTATCTAGTCTCTTTCTGTAGTGCATTCTGAGAGGGAGGGAGGTTTGAAAATCTAGATATTAGGATCAAATTTGGAACTGCATTGACAAAATTCATATAATTATACATATTAGTACATATTATAATTTAAGGAATGTGGGAAGGTTACAAACATCCTTACCCATGGTAAAACGTTCAAACTTTTATACTCGTAGTGAATCATTTAAAGAACGTACTAGTTTTCGATAGAATTAAAAATAACATGACCGTTTTTTGAAACGTTAAAACCAATTGGACTGCAAGAACTTAAAACATGCAAAAATTCTCCGTATCCAACTAAAATTATGCATCTGATTAAAACTTTCATTTAATTATACTGTAAATTAGTTGAACAGTAAACTCACCTAGCAATGGCTCCACGCCAGTGTTTCTGTATCATGGTAGCAGCTGATCCCAAGATAATCACTCGCTGTTGTTCTAGAACATTCTCCAAGGTCTCCTTCATAAACACTTTTGTTTTACCTGCCTGCCACTCTTTCTCTGACGCTGAGATAAAGTTTGTGTTGAGAATGGTCGAACTCAGGATTTGTTGTTTCGAAATGTAATGGTTATGGAACAACGCAGCTGACTTGACATTTATGAGGATAAGTATGAGCAACTTTAGTGATACAAATAAAATATTAGTGATTAATGCCAAGTGGTTTAAGTCCCAACTTTAGTGAAACACTGTTCCCAAAATTACCGTTTTTAGTTAGATAAAGAGAGACTTTATCTTTAGCATCTTTAGTGTAGATAGCAGCTAGGAGAGGTTGGTATCTGGAGCAGAAGTCAGCGTATAATCTTCTTACTGGGTATCCTGACCTTCTGATTACAACCGTCTGCATCATTCCTGAGATAATAATTAAATTAGTCTACATTCCTGAGAATTAAATATAGTAAAATCAAATAATATTATTATATTATATTTATAATAAATGTGACTCATAATGGGGACGGGTTTTGTTTGAGTCATTTAAAAATATGTAAAGTCCAAATTCAAAACGAACCCGCACGTAGTCGATTAATTATTAAGTTACAGTTAATTGAAATTACCATGATGTATAAATTAATTAGTTACCTGAATATCTGAGTTGGTTGATCATAAGCTGGTTCTGGAAATTGTTAGATTGTTTTGTAGCGTTGGGTTTTACACAACGGATGAAGAAAGGGTTAGACGCGGAGAGAGTCTGAAAATGTTAACAATGAAATGTAATAAAGTCAATGTTATGAAATTTGTTGTACATTTCGTGTGTTTACATGAATATTAATGTTTACTAATAACACTTCTTATCTACATTAACAGCCCAATACAATCAAAACAAAGTTCTGATTACGTCAAAACACAACTGATGACGTCACAGTATATATGATGACGTCACCACACAACTGATGACGTCACCACACAACTGATAACGTCACCACACATCTGATTACGTCACAGCATGTACCGTCATGAGAGAAGAGAGACTCTCTTTGAAGGAGGAAGCTACAGTTGCAGATTTGGGTTTACCCCGTCCTCCTCTCTCTGATGAGAGTTTCACTCCCTCAAACAGATCGTACATAAAGTCTGATTTACTGTCTTTCAGCAGCGTAATAAGGTCGTCCCTATGATAAATAATTGATTGACTATTATTATTATTCAGTACATTTAAAAATAATGTGGTAGAAAAAATGTCTTTTCGATTTGGCCATATGTCATTTTACGAATTTCGTTAGACAGTTTATGTGATTTACCTGAAAGAGCCCCTGTTTTTCTCTAAGAACCCAACTGTGTTGTAAACAACGTCACCTGCGTAATGTCTGATTCCAAAATCTGACCCTGTAATCTTTATTAAGTGTTGTCAGTTAACAAAATAAACAAATAGATAACGAGATTCGCTAGGAATGGAAGCGGAAATTGTTAACAGGGAAATGCAAGATAACAGAGAAATATAGAGTTGAGATAATTGTTAAACCAGTTTCCGCTATTCCAGCAAGCAGAGGATATTTTACCTAACTAACCTTAGGTTTGATGTAGAAGGTGTTTTTAGCGTTAGCGTTGTGCAACTTTTCAAGCATGCTTTTATCAGTTCCTGTAAAATAGTCAGTAAAATTTTCCAACATTACCAATTATTCATCTTACGAACTTGCAATTACCAATTTGAAAGTCATCAGCGACAATTTTAATTTATATTATTAACTGTATGTATAATTTTGAAACTTCTGAAATTAGAAACTACATTTTATACTAAATATTTCCTTGTGTTTGAGTTTATACAGACCTTTAGGGAACCTGCTCTCCTCATCTATAATGGAGAATATGCCCATTTTCCTCTCCACTAACTGAATGCAGCCGGCATTGTCCGTCCAGTCTATATCACTCCAGGGTATTCCTTCCTGAGCACAAGTTCCAATTAATACTAACATTAATACTATCAACGAATTGAGTGAGATTATTGGAGATCCGAGATTATTGGTCAGTTAAATTACCAATTATCACTATGATATAGCTCAGTCTGCTGTATGAGAAAAGATCTGCGCTTTAAAATGGCTCGTATTACTCTTAACTGCTGTGATAATCAATTATATCCCGCTGAATCTCTAATCCCACTTCATATCCCACCGTATGTCCTCATACCCGGCCACAAAGATGCCCCTTCTAGAGCCCCTAAATTCCCCGTCTAGAGCAACCCTCTCACCAATAAAACAAACCTGGTTATACTCCAGCTGCTCCAAAGAGAAGATATGTTTGTTGAAATACTGCTGTAGTTTCTCGTTCGCAAAGTTGATGTTGAACTGTTCGAATCTGTTAACTTGGAAGTTCTCGAACCCAAATATGTCCAGCACACCGATTGAGGAGAAGGGAGGTTTGGGGGACTTTATACGCGAGTTTATACGCTCTGTAGAGAGGGCACGGTTATCAAGTTGGTTACTTTTGATCCAAATGTTGGCAATCTTGAGAAATCTTAACCGCATCACCTTAAGATATTTTCATGATCAAACAAACAAACATAATTTGAAACACTAACGGATGATCCAGTCGAAGAGATGTGAGTACACCGCCATGGTTATAGAGTCCCGGCTGCCTATAGCCTGGTCTTCGTTCAGTGGAGAGAGGAATACTTCCCCTGATAACCAATTTTAATTGGTTTGTTGTGACACGTGATATTAAAATGGATCTTTCTAAAACAAGCAATAAAATATGATCAATGATCTACATTCAACAGAGTTATGACTTATCGAGTAACACTATTGAATTTAACTGCATCTAATTATAAAATACATTGGGAGGGAGACATTCGCTTTTTTGGGGTACTTGATAGTGAAAATGATGCTCCCTTCCCCTCCACCTCCTAGTAACCTCACTTACCCCTCATTTCCCTCCTAGTAACTTCACTTACCCCTCATTTCCCTCCTAGTAACCTCACTTACCCCTCATTTCCCTCCTAGTAACCTCACTTACCCCTCATTTCCCTCTTGTTGTGTGTAAGCGACTCTATCAACTGCTCCGTGTTAACACTCAGGAACTGAGCAGCTTTCTCCACAGCTGCAAGGTGGAATATTGTATTAGATAACAGTAACAGTAATTGAGAATATTATCAATAACCAGTGGGTGCTTCAACATCAAATGTCACTTGGTGCTTTAACAAATACCAAGAGTTTCAACATTAGGTTAGCATACAACTTGCTCTCGATAATGGTTCGGAAGATAATGCTAAGATGATGCTCGTTTCGCTCATTCCATTCATCGCATGAACTGTATTTCATTTCACACTGATTTAGACACACACACAATCACGGATCTCACAGCTGTTTTAACACACACACAATTATTATCATTAGATAAGGAGCTATCTAGTTATCAGATAAGCCCAATCCTTCACTATTTGTGTTTTTAGCATACAGTTTGTCTACCAATAGCTAGTGCAACATTGGTTTTCTGTGAATCGCAGTCATTATACATCCACAAACATCAACAAACATCAACAAACCTCTCGCCCGTTTTAATTTACTGCTGGAGACAGTGATATACAGTTCCTTTTTCTATTCATTTTATATTTATTTCTGGTATACAGTTTCAGTAACAGTTCGAGTAAGATTCTAGAATAATATTGCTAGACGGTTCATGACAGTTAAACGACAGGAAACATGACCAGAACTGTAGATCATATGTTGCATTACGTATTCTTTTTAATCTGTTCGTGACACGTGAAGCCTGATTATAAGTTGTACTAATACTATGTTCTACTGCCATAAATTGTTTTACTTTTCGTTTATCGTATGGCACACCCTCTCGATTTTCTCTACACTTGTGGTTCAGGATAATATTCATTCCCCATTTCTAATACTGGTACAATGTTGGGTACTTCCCACGCACAATATTCTACTGAAACGTTTAAACTTTCGAGTCCCATATTATGTACAAGGTACATAATATATGTACAATGTACAAAATATATGTACATAATATTACGTGATGCAGATATTGTGATGACGGCGCATACATGACGCTTTATGGTGCTTCTATTTTAACTGTAATTAGAGGATTACTCGCCAGTTTACTTGTTGAGATTCATCCTCTTGTTAGGCTGTTTGGACTATGCCCGGGTCTGGTTTCTTGTTTCAGTCCGCCCTCAATCCTCATGCATGGACTCCTGGTTCAATTTTAGGGGTACTGTCACCTGTTTTGTTGACTCCTTGCCGTCATATCTTACTTTATTTGTCGCTGTTGCCATGTTTCCCGCCATCATATTAGCGTTTATACATGAACATTGAAACACTGCTAACTTGATATTATTAGGGGACCTATAACATAATCTGCAATATGGAGAGTGTCACTGTTCAAGTTGAAGATGTTCCGGTTAAGTTCCCTTTCAAACCATACCCCTGTCAGGTTCGTTTATTTTGTAATTAATGGAAATTGCCATAAAATAAGCCAAATGGCCGCTGCCAAAATGTTGATACTATTTTTATTGGAAATTTAAAAAACCAAATATGCGACCAAAGTCTTGAATATTAGTTTATCAGATTGACTAGAATCTAGATGTACTATCACTCTGTTAATTTCCCAGGTAAAGTACATGAGTGCAGTGATAAGAGCACTAAACTGTAGTGGTAACGCTATATTGGAATCTCCTACTGGTAAGTTATAGGTCTAAACAGTCATATATTCAGGGTTGAGGCTGGCAATTTAGTCGTCATGATTATAAGCCAAGTATTTTATTTTCCCGCTCATTTCCAGATGATTTTGATACAAATTTAAATATTTAGAGATAATAAAATCGTTTAAACTGCAGGAACTGGTAAGACGCTGGCAATGTTATGTTCTCTGTTGTCATGGAGACCGAGTCAGGAAAATCCTCCTAAGATACTGTTCGCTTCCAGGACTCACTCTCAACTCTCACAGGTACTTTCTGATTGGTTGCCTTGAGTCACGTGACTGAAATGCTCCTCTCAGATCGGTTAGTTTGTGTCACGTGATCAGAATATTATTGGCTACCACCCACTGTCTCCCCACAGGTAGCACAAGAGATCTCCTCCCTGGCCCCCCTCTACCCTGGTATCTGCGTCTCCCTGCTCGCATCACGTGAACAGTACTGTCTCCACCCCACCGTCTCCACCTACCACAACGTCTCCCAGTCCTCCGCGTGCCGTTCTGCTGTCTCCTCCAGCTCCTGTACTCACTACACTAACTACAAGAAGTTTTCTAAACCCCCTGTGGATACTGTCAGGGATATAGAGGATTTTGTAGCGGGGTGCGCGGCGCACAAGACGTGTCCGTACTACTCCGCGCAGTTCTTAGCGCAAAGCGCTGATGTAGTGCTCCTTCCTTACAATTATCTAACAGATAGGAACCTTCAACACAGGTTCAAGTCCCTGATTAACGACTCTATTATAGTGTTTGATGAGGCTCACAACATCACTAAGTTTTGTGAGAATGGCTACACGTTTGCACTTCCTGCCTCAGAGATGAACGGAGCACTTGATGCTCTGGAGGGTTCAGAAGCAGCAGAGAAGTGTCAGCAGATTTGTGGGTTTTTGGAAGAGTTCTACGATCATGGTTACCAGTCATCTTTCTTCCAGTTCTTTGAGAGTTTCGTCTCGTTTGATGACGTGAAGTATTTGAGAGGAGCTGATAATGATAACAACCAGGGACTAAACGAACTGATAACCTTCCTAGAAAACATACTTGATATAATAGACAGCAAAACAACTGACTCTTACAACCTTCTCTACGAGAGTGAGACCCAGAGTCTAGTCTGTGTGTGTCTGGATCCTAGCATCTCCTTGAAGACACTAAAGAAGTTCACAACGCGGTCCCTTATCATCACCAGTGGGACTATATCTCCTCTGTCCAGCCTCATCAAGGAGCTGGATACGGAGTTTACAGAGGTGCTTAGGAATGATCATGTGATCAAGCCATGTCAAGCGCTGGTTCAGGTAAATTTCCTTTTGATAGTCGCATTATTGTGTCAATCTTATCAACGCAGCGACTTCAACTTGTGGAATTACGACGTTTACATATTAGTATGACCTGATAATTTTAACTCGTATCCACCTCTTTCTGTTTCAAATTTGTGGGTTTGATGACGGATAACATTATTCGAAGACACTTTTACAATATCCCAAATATTACCAGGTTGTAACAAGAGGTTCAGATGGAGAAACACTTCAATCTTCCTTTAAGAACAGGAGCTCAGAAACCTACCTCCGTTCCCTTGGTAACAGTCTGATAAACTATTTCCGGGTCATCCCTGCTGGGGTTCTGGTATTCTTCCCTTCTTATACAGCCATGGATATAGCAGTGGGCTTCTGGAGAGAAGAGGGTAATATCTGGAGCTCCATGCAACAGGTTAGTTCTGTGCTGTTTTTTGTCTTCTTCAGCGATTAAGTTTTCAAATTATTTGTTTAGTCAGTTTTTAAAACAGCAACAATTCGTATAAAAGATACTCACGATTTCGACTGCCGTATAATTAAACTGATTGTACCCCAGATCAAGTCGTTGCACGTGGAAGCGAGAAACAAAGAGTACTTTCACCGATCCCTAAAACGTTACGAGTACGATTGTACCAGTGCCACACCCAGAGGGGCTGTTCTCTTTGCAGTGTGTAGAGGGAAGCTTGCGGAGGGAGTAGACTTGAAAGAAGAAAAAAGCAGAGGGGTGATAATAGTTGGTATACCTTACACCTACATGAACGACCCACTAGTAGCCATGAAGATGGAATACCTGGATAGAAGGAAGATAGGAGGGAAAGCCTGGTACCAACACACAGCGTTCAGAGCTGTAAACCAGGCTTTGGGTAGAGCTATACGACACCAACATGACTACGGGGTGATGTTACTGTTAGATGAGCGTTTTGCAGACAATACTGACATGCTTCCTGCGTGGATATCTCAGAGTGTGGAGGTGGTACCACAGTTTGGGAGCTCTATTAAAACCACAGCACAGTTCTTCAAGTTCCACAACATCTCACCTCCTGCTGATACGTACTACAGCAGGTTTACTAAAGGAGAACAGGGGTTGAGACAGGGAATAAAGTGGATGGAGTTTCCGGTGTTAACTAGCAGTTATACTGTTTTGAAGACAGTGTTGGGACTTTTATATACTGTGTGTATCACATTTGTTAGGGGCCTTATGTTTTTAATGAGATCTAGGTGATACCAGGGACTATGAGGGACTGCAGTATGAAGTTGATATTATATGCTAATTGTTTATTGATACTGGTAGGGTGCTGGATGTTAACTTTGTAATTTAATGCTCACATTTCTTCAAATCAACATGTTTGGTGAACCTTCTACTCTTTCAGTTTGTACTTACATATGTACAGTTGCAAAGTCGATGTGTTAATTTTCCTCAACTCAACAAGTGCGACGACTTATTTTCTTAATACGAGAAATAACGTTAGCCTGTCTTTAATCGACTCAAATAATATTACCACCTTCCCCAAACTAATTTTCCTCGACAGCGCGCGATCAATGCGCTGATAACGAAACGGTGGACTCAATCTCGGGTCCCCAATTTTGACCGTCCCTTTTGACCGTGAAAATGTCCCATTCCACTTCTCCAGATACACAATATTGTACAGTGCGGTGTTCCTTTTCATAACATACCATTTTCAATTCAATGCCGCCTGAGGGGAGACCTAATTCGGCACTGTAACTGGGCATGGTCAATTAGGTCACGTCGGGAAAGAGCTGAGCTCACGTGACTTTACTGAGTGCTGCGCGTTGTATTTTAGACAGCAGAATGTCTCCGCGCGTCACTGATATGTCAAACTTACAAAGCCAGCGATACCGCCCTTCATATGTTTTCGAACAAGCGGTCAAGTTTGTTGCAAAAGGAGAAGCGTAGTAAGGAAGTGAAAGTTTATGTAGCGAAGAAGTTACACATTTTTTTCCGTTTAGTGGGCTTCGTCAAAGTTGAGATATAGAAGTGATAATTGTATGATATTTGTGATCGATATTAAGAAGGGCAAGTGGTCACTGATTGCATAAATATGTTGCATTCCGCTACAGGAATGTGTTCATGCACTGCATGGAAGGCTCAGTAATAACACGATCCGATTAAACAAGCAATTTCAGTAGGAGTATACATAAAACATAGCATCAAGTACAGAGAAAGAGCACGGCTACTCTGACTTACTGCAAGAGGGCTATCAGGAATTACGCTTGATATTTCATTACCAGTGATACTAAATATTAACACTGAACTTGACGTGAAATATTTTAATTTAGCACGTCTCAAGCTCGTGCTGTTGCAACAAATTAACAGCAACAAACAATTTACAGGTTTAGGACTACCATTTCGCACGTAAGAGTAATATGTACTTTTTCGACACATGCGCCGTTAGTATTTACACTTCGCAATATTCTATCACACATAGTCTTATCACACATTATCACGCACTCAACTCACATTGCATGTTTTCAACAGTGACATTATCTCCGGCATACATCGTGTTCCCGCACCTGTCTGTAAATATGAACAATATCGCACTACTCACTTTATCACACTTATCACACTTATCACATCACTATATCACGCATTGATCACACTTGGGGCGATCTTATCTTAGTTATTATAATGTTTTTATCACAGCGCACTTGGAACAAAATTTAACTTTAAACCACCCTTTAATCTCACTTCACATTTCCAACTCAAAACTATCATAATACGTTAAATCTAGTTGCTATTCAAAATTAATACCTGGAATTATTTCAAAATGTAATTACTAAAATCATATGCTTCAGAAATAAACATGGTACATGAATCTAATCTTACCCAACTTTAGAAATCCAACTAAAATTCAACTAAATAATACTTTACATACCATCTCTATCAGATATCTGAGCTCCTCCGTCCATATGGAATCTAACATTACCAAGATGTAATATTCCAGCTAGTATCGTTAATATCTCTTCCACTACCTGAACAGTGTACAACTGTCAACAATTGTTATCTTATACAGCGTACTTTTTACTGACAACTCACAACTGTGAACTGTCACACTGACAGTTGTTATCATTAACAAAACCATGATATAATAATGTTATATCATGGCCCCGTCAAGTCTTGATAAAACTCAACATAGGTAGGTAGATATCATGATATCGTAGGATCACATATAAATTGTGTGTCTTGATAGGTGACAATTGATAATATCATATATATAGAGGATTATGGGACACCTGAATTAAGAACTGATCTATACAGTATACATCAGATAAACGATTAACAATATCAACAGGTAATTAGAGTGGTAATGTAAGCTATAAACGAGGGTTGTGATTACCAATAAGTGTGAATTTACACACCCTTATCAAACTAGGTAACACTAGGTAACTCACACTTGTTCACGAGTGTTTATAGTACTACATACTATACTAACTTTAGTACTACTTATCACTAGTTGAGTGTGTCCCACAACCAAGCTCATTGCCTAGAAGTCCTGCATTATTATAATGAACCTGGACATATGTGGCACCTAAAAGCTCCTTAAACCAAAAAACCACTACTTATCACACACATTGTGTGTTTAAGAAGTAAGTTTGGCAGTTAAATTACCACCAGATAAGATTTACCTGATTACTAAGACCCATCACTTCAAAAGAGGTTAGCACTTCCTTATAATCGTTCTTATCCTGCAGAATATAAAGTTAAAACACCTGAATGTTCATTGTAATAATTTATAAGGCTCAATTAAAATAATTAATTAGCAATTCACCATAATCAATTAGATGTTTCAAACAGTGCTTGTGTTCAGCTTGAATCTGTATCAACCCAGAATGAGATTTGCAATAAGCCTAGCTGTAATGAATGCTTAATACTGAGTGCAATTCAATTTAGAAGCAGTAAAATGTGGGTGAGGTTGCAGTTCAGTAATTTCATTCATATTGTCATCATGATCATTCACTCAAATCCACGGTTATTATAATCTATTTTCTTATTGGTATGTGGTCCTAAGCACTGTAGAAGTTGCGTAAGTTTGTAACTATTTAGAAAACGTAGCACTCAGCAACAAAAGAATCGATTAGCAAGCTGTGTTTGCTTGAAAAGAAGAATCTATTTATGGTCAAATAAGAGAACGCAACAAAAGAAAACCTGGAGTATATATAATATGCATATATTCTTTTTGCGTCAATAAAATTTTGACAACATCGAATGGAAAAGCACAGTGATTGTAGTACTATGATCAAAGTTGGGTAATAATAAGTTGGTGGTTGAATCTTATTTGAGACAGTCCCACCTTGGTCTACTCGTGACCGCTAATCACACATCTGATTGGGTGATAGCTGTCACGTGTTGGAAGAGATTGGCACTACTGAGGTAACCCACCAACTTAAAATTATCCCTCTACAATAATAGGCAAACAACGTTTGAAGGTAACCCTTGATAAGAATTTACACGATAAAATACTAAATTAGAAGTTAACAGAATCGTTTATTTGATGTTTTGATGAGTTGCAATTCGCAGTGATTCATGAAATGAATTATACGAAATCAAAATGAACTTGAACCGCTAAACTACCCAGTACCCAGAAAATTCATGTGTAATCGATAGGCTGAAAAGAGTGAAATAAGTTAATAAGAGCACCCAGAAAGATTTATTGAGATGAAAACTGTGAACTACACCGTTCTTAAATCTTGTGTAGGTGCGTGTTTATAAGTAGATATAAGATAGAACTCTAAGATATGTTTAAGGAGATGTAAGGAGATTTAAGGAGATGTTTAAGATCAAATATTCTGTTACCCTTGTTAATTGTTTTAATTCAGCTGGCGTTTCCTGCGAGTTGATGATTAAATAATTACAATGTTCGTTGACTTCCTTGCAAGAAGATGTTTACTACATAAAGATAATTAAATTTCTACTCAAAAGACCAGTTCAAAATTAATTACATTCTGCTGACGACGCTGGCGAAAAATAATACTAACTTGTTGTACACTATAATAAATGGAAGCACTCATGAAATAATCTAATTTTGAGTATCACTCAATTTTGTTTGCACAGGACAGTTTGACTTCCAGTCCTGCTCAAAACCTGATTATGTTTTTTTTTATAAAGAACATGCATTTTGCATGAGAGAGTAAGTTTAACATAAAAACAAAATATATGACGCAGAAGTATTGAATGCAGCTCTGAGCATTGAAGCGATAGCTTGAAAGAGAAGCTAATACATTTATTTATTAATACTTGGAGGCGATGGTGACTCACCATCAACGAGTGACGTAAAGGTAACCACTACAATAAAATAGCAAGCGATAGCTGGATATTATGTTGCATTATTTAGCGACAAGTAGCAAAGAACATATAGCTAGATAGGGTTAGTGTGTTAACTCAGCAGAGGTTATATAATATAGCCGGGAGGGCTAACTAATGTTAGATATAGCTAGATATAGCTGGATGTAGCAGTAAAGAGCCATAACTCAGCAGATACCTACATCTACCCAGAGAAGGGAGTTATTAGCGCCGTTCTGGGGAGAGAGTTAGAAACATCTTTTAAATGGGCACTTCAAAGTAAAAATATCAACAATATTCTTTACCTGTTTCTGTTTTTTACTGCATATATTCAAGATCGTTATATAATATGTACCATGATTAAGTTCAGTATCTATGAAATAATGTAGGCGTAGTGATAACAAGATAGTTTAGATTTCCTTTTGATACTTTCCTGTTTCAAACGTGTGTGCTGTACTAATACAAGTCCTAACTGTGCCAGTCTTTACTTAAACGTACAATATCGACATATACCGATTATGTATAATTATTTAGCATAAATCTGAGTAGATACACAATATTCCCCAACTAAACTATGTCAAGAATACCTCACATTCCTATAATTAGTGCGACAAACATTGTGGGCGGGTCAGAATCAACTTCCCATATCTAAACTGTTTATGTCACGCTAGTGATGTAACAGACATTACACGCCGTAGTGTATTTGGTTTTAATGCCTAACACAAATTTAGGTCTAATCGACAAAGTACAGAAAATTCCACCTGGAAATCACGTACCATATCTCCTGGAAGTGAGAAGTCACGTACCATATCCTCAGATATACAAAGTATTTGTGAAAGTTCAGTAACACCAGATAGATTTCTGTTCTCACCTAGTACCCAGTATATTATAAAGTACTTTACACAACATGCAGGGTCTAACATTCACTCATTCGCTGCTCACATTCCCTATATCACGTGACATGTTTGTTGGAGTAGCTGGCTTTATTGGGCCAGAGCATAGTTTCATAACAGTATTCATATCATATTTTATGTTAACATTTATGTAATATTTCTGGGACACCACTCAGTAGTATAATATCCTGACAATATTAAAAGACTAGTGTAACCCGGCCTACGGCCGGGATTTCACTGCCGCAGTTAAAAAGGGTAGAAGTAATTACCCGCTGAGTCAAAACCCGGATTAGGCGAGCAATTCTATTCGGAGTGCCCTCACGTATCCAATAGTATGCTTAAAAGATAGTAATTCTTAATCAATATTCAATAGAAATTAACCCTTAACACCATGCACCACACCAGCCTATCATATTTGTGAACATGCATTACATTGTCGTATGAAAGTATGAACTCTCTCTACAGTCCAAGCAGACCGTTTGAGCACTCCTTCCCCTAATAAGTTTATAGTATTATATGACCATGTAATATATACGCCATGTAATATATACGCTACATAATATTATGCAGAGAGAGAGAGCTAGCCCCGTAACTCTTGCCGTTCTTCTCAAGCCATTTTATGTAACATATTTTGTGGTACAAAACCATCAATTAAACCACTTACCACCGGCCGATTTTTATAAAATTTGCTTATTGGCTTCGTCAGAGTTTTGTCGGCACTATACCGAAAAAACCAGTCCCGTAACTATTACCGTTTTTTTTGTATAACCGTTCGGAAATTACACACAGACGATCAGACAGACAGACAGACACACACACACACACACACACACATTCTGGTGTTATTAAGGTGATAACAACTACATTACTATAAAGCTATAAATATAATGCTTATATCAGGCTTATCACTCCATTACAGGCACACGACACACACATGACATTTCATTTGTTCACTCTTACGTCGTGTTCGAAAATAGTGGTTGTAGCTCCCTTCGCCTGGTATCAGCATATTAGTGAGGTAATTATTTAATTAACTAATTGATAATTTAACAAACTTGTTGATTAATTAATAGATTGATTGTTTAGTTTAGAGATTTAAAATTCTATTGAAACATATTGGTTAACAAACAACTGTACTGTGCGTCATTTGTTAATTTCCTATTACCGTGTGAGTTATCAGTTTTTAATTGTTACATGCTACACAGCAATCTTGAATCTAACCAAAAACTCTGAAAACTAATCTTTCTTCGGACACACCTAAATATTTGTCCCCAGTTCAGCAAATAATTGGACTGGTACAACAAATGTTACAAAATCAGCTCCATACACAATGATTTGGTTGTCACACACAACTTGTTGTAGTCTCCACAAGGATTGAGACTCGTCAGGATAAATAGGGATACAGTAGTTAGGAGGTCCAATGTCCACTGTCATATTTGACATCACATTTTTGGGATTTCACAAATGAATGATAAAGAACAGTGACCCCTAAAGTATCCTGACGAGTAACAATCCAGTGAGGACCAGCGTTGTCGGATAAACTTGCCGTCTGAGATTTTACTGGTTTAAAAACCAGCAAGAATTCAACATGATCTCTGACGACAATTTCACCTGACAACACTAAAACTCTGAGAATCACATGATTTATTATCAGCACAACACGGTACTCAGGTCAGTAACTCTTGTTGGTTACTACGGTTACCACTGTAAGTAACTCTTGTTGGTTACTATGGTTACCACCACAAGTAACGCTCACACCTGTTCAGGAGTTATATCCCCCGAGTCCCCCGCTTTTTTAACCATCGGGTCATGTTTGTGTTTCTTGCTGCCCCTCTTCTGTTATATACAAACCAGGTTATATATAAACCAGGTTATATACAAACCAGGTTATATTAGGGTAACACAAGATACCAGGGGTGAGACCAGGAGTAATGCATGACATCAGGGCCGGGGAAACTGGATATATAACATTGAGGACAGGAGATAGATACATATTAAAACATGACATATTTGTGGGGTTAAAAAGAGGCAGATTAACTTGGAGATGGGGAACATTAAACATTGTCATGTTATTTAGTGGGAAATATGGGATTGTTAGACTAAAATTCATTCCTTACTGGCTGTATTAAAATAGAACGTGTTTTATAACTAATGTTTATTCAGGCCACGTGACACAAACCAACCAGTCAGAAAGACAGACACGAAACAAAACCAACCAATAATAATACACTACGTGACATTATCCGACCAATGAGAAGACAGTATTTGCACCACGTGACACTACTTTAACCAATGAAAACCCAGTATTCAGTGAACCTACCTCGCAGTTAGGGTCCCTAATACTCCCAGAGACATATCTGAAGTTTTTGGGGTCGTCCAGACAGAGTTTAGTCTTCAGCGGTTCTTGTACTCCGAGTAACAACTGGAAATAATGTCTGTTAGTTTGTTCTTTTTGTTAAATTGTTGTTTATTAAGTTGTTTATCTACTGGTCTTGTAACTTAAAACTTGCTGAAAACTGAATTTGGTCCAGGAAATTCGACTTCATTTCGGTTTAAAGTATTTTAAAGTGTCAACAAACCTGATAAAATATGTGATAGTTCCTCTCGCTGGGGTTCTGACCGACTGTTCTGTTCTTTTCTGAATTAATAACCATCTTGTTATCGGAACAAAGTTACAGAACAAGGCTTTGCTTAAGCTTATAGAACTCAGTTGTAGACTAACTATTCGTCATATCAAATCTTTAACCGAATTGAAGTGATACAAGTGAGGCTGAATTACAAGGATTAGAAACAGCTAGCTACGGGGTTTAAATTACTACTCTATCTGGCCTCATCTCAGTAAAATATCTTTAATATTTAAATAATACCATTGGGAATACCATAAGACTATGTATTATCTAATGAGTTAACTAGATAACTACATAATAAAATTATTACGATCATTAAATAATTCACATTTATTTAACTTATTACTGTGCAACCTTAATTCTAGCGATTAAAGCTTGCTGTTATTTATGCGATTTAAAGGTTTAACAAGCGGGATTCGTTTTACATTAATCTTATTGTGTTTTGTAAATGTTAGAGCAGAGCAAGTTTATTATTAGATAATTATATAATTAGATAATTACCTAGGAGATAATGAGAGATGTTGCCGCCGACAATGTTTCCATCCTCAGCAAAGAAGAGCTGTATAAACTTTCCAAACCGAGATGAGTTGTGGTTGTAGACCGTTTTAGCGTTACCAAACGCTTCCAGTATCGGACTGTAAAATAAAGTAAATTCAATTTTTTAATTCAATATTTAAAGAAACTCCTCTGAATTGTACAGTAAGTTCACTACAAACCTTCTCACCCTGTACAAACAGTGTGTTTACAAACAGTGTGTTTACAAACAGTGTGTTTACAAACAGTGTGTTTACAAACAGTGTGTTTACAAACAGTGTGTTTACAAACAGTGTGTTTACAAACAGCGTGTTTACAAACAGTGTGTTTACAAACAGCGTGTTTACAAACAGTGTGTTTACAAACAGCGTGTTTACAAACAGAGTGTTTACAAACAGCGTGTTTACAAACAGCGTGTTTACAAACAGTGTGTTTACAAACAGTGTGTTTACAAACAGTGTGTTTACAAACAGTGTGTTTAGAAACAGTGTGTTTACAAACAGCGTGTTTACAAACAGTGTGTTTACAAACAGCGTGTTTACAAACAGCGTGTTTACAAACAGCGTGTTTACAAACAGTGTGTTTACAAACAGTGTGTTTACAAACAGTGTGTTTACAAACAGTGTGTTTACAAACAGTGTGTTTACAAACAGTGTGTTTACAAACAGTGTGTTTACAAACAGTGTGTTTACAAACAGTGTGTTTACAAACAGTGTGTTTACAAACAGTGTGTTTACAAACAGTGTGTTTACAAACAGTGTGTTTACAAACAGTGTGTTTACAAACAGTGTGTTTACAAACAGTGTGTTTACAAACAGTGTGTTTACAAACAGTGTGTTTATAAATGTTTATATGACTGGGCAACATTAAGAGGCGTGAGCTAGTCTTCACTACATGTTGAGGGGTGATCAAATATCCCCGGTGATTTGGGTTATTATAAGTGAGGTATTATTGTGATGTAATGATTTTTGAACGGGTGAAAGTAATCCGATATAGTGTCACCTCGTATCATGTAGGGTTGGAGCGTATCATGTAAGATTGTAATAAGGGATGATTTTACTCGTGCACATTGCACACTAGATCCTCCATACACGCAGAACATATTTTGGTTCAAAATATCATGAACTCAAATTAGCGAGTTTTCTCACATCACATTCTGGAACTAAGCCGGGTTGGATATATATATATTGGTACTTCATATTCACTTCATTTTCACTAGTAATTATAAATCAAGGTGTGAGTGTTATAATTGTGGAGACTGAAGGAACTGAGTACAGACACATCACACTGACATTACAGTTACGTTATAAACACTGACATTACAGTTACGTTATAAACACTGACATTACAATACCGTTACGTTATAAACACTGACATTACAATACCGTTACGTTATAAACACTGACATTACAGTTACGTTATAAACACTGACATTACATGAGTGTTTTGTTAAACGCAGTTAAAAACTAGGCGGTTAGTTTCTTCTAACACTTCTCCTAAATGTGTTGGTACAGTGTCGAGACACTGAACAGTATTGTATATTATATAATACATATCATACCCCTCTAGTATTGTAGAACACCCCTCTAGATAAGTTATAATTCTACAGAGGGAGAAGCTGTAGTAAACAAGATGTGAAGTAGTCATGAAGCTACATATACACGTGGATTATTATGCGTTCAAATAAGATATTGTTACACGGTACTATTACTAGAAGAGTCTAGGTAGGGTTGCTAAGGGTTGCTACGGGTTGCTGAGTGTGGGGTTATGTTGCACCACGAGGGCGTGTCATCACTCAACTAGGCGTATAGTACGTGATGTACGTGATGTGTGTATTAGAAGGTGAGGTGTGGCATGTAATGTACGTGATATCTCCAGACACCTACTTTACAGTGCAAACTGTGGGGAACTGTTAATATACAGAATTAAATATAATGTCGGTGTAGTATTGTTAATACCCACAGTTAATAATAGCTCTATTTACATACAGAGTCAAGTATATTACTGGTATAGAACTTTAATGATTCGCCGATGCTAATGCGGGTTAAAATGTGGTCAAGGGCGGATTTTCAGACAGCTGAAAGTCTGGAGTGACAGAAATAATATGTTGTAAAGCTATAAGTACTGTATAAGTACAGCTGTAGTCAATGTATTGATCTAATCATGCTCCATTTTCAGAGGTTTTGGTAGGATTTCCTCGCTAGCTTTATGCAGGTTACTGTTAGTTCATAGGAGGACAAACTCTCAAAGGTTATTGAGCTGTATGTCAGAACATTCCTTACATCTGAACACTGATACATTACACTGATACATTACACTGATACATTATGTCATAATTGAGCATGTTATAAAACTTGTGTTCTGTGAAGGGCGGTATACCGGGCAACTTAGTGTTCTGTCACATCAGATATTAACTCAGCAGGACAACATGGCACTGTGCAGGTTGTGATGGAGATATTAACTCAGCAGGACAACATGGCACTGTGCAGGTTGTGATGGAGATATTAACTCAGTAGGACAACAGGCTGTAGTGGAGATATTAACTCAGCAGGACAACATGGCACTGTGCAGGCTGTGATGGAGATATTAACTCAGCAAGACGAGAGTGCAGGCTGCTTGAGGGTTTGCCAGTCTCAGGCAGCATTAGGGTTCTGACTACATAAGTAGATAGCTTCAATAGCTGAATTAATTTAAAGTGATGTAATAAGTTTTAGTGATGTAATCAGTTTTAGTGATGTAATCAGTTTTAAACTGGCATGATATTACACAGGTAGATTGAGGGAGAGGGCTAGCAGACCAATCAAATATCAATATCACTGTCACGTGTCAAAATAAACTACCTCACTCTCTACCTCTGCTATTTCAATATCAAAACGCAGTCGAAGCTTGAAGACACAGAACTCTTGAAATGCTAATAATCTCAGGGCAGGTGGAGAAGAAGGCCCTTCTTAAAAACACATGTGTTATTCAACACAAGTATTGTACCACAAATGAGTTCCTTATTAAATATGCTCTTGTGATAAAACTTTAATGTGCAGGCAAAATACAATTTTCTGCTGCAGATAGGATCCTTTAAATTATTTTCTTCACAGAAATCTCGATGAAAAGTGAATTTGCACATAGAATTGCTCTTGTTCTACCCATGAACTGCATATAAAATTCATATTATATAATATACAAATAGATATGCAAGTAAGTGAATGATTGGTCAAAAGTGGAAGCTGATTGGCTAATCGCTGTCACGTGACATAACAAATACAGTTCACCCTTAACAATATCCTACACCCTTGTGTGTAGTGTAGTTTTACTAGCAGGGTAGGGTGTATGTGACACAGTACACACAATAGGGGAAGAAGAAGACCTACCAATATAATGTAATATAATGTGCACAATAGATAATAACAATAACCCCTTATCAAGAAGAACCCTAACACATTTGTGTACTGTGAAACAATGTACTGGGTATGTGTACTGTGTGTGTACCTTCTTCCCTCTACTTCATCGCAATAAATCTTGTTGTAAGAGCGAACTTGCAGTTCTTGGGATCTAACTTTTTCAATGTACCGGTATTGAGACCGGAGCTGAGGAGTAAGGAGTCTACTTTCTCCACCTTGAAATACCAATACAGTTTAGAGACATAACAACTGTTAAATTAATCGCGTTTCTCGTTGAGAAGAAAAACTTTTTCTAGCTTGAGAATTTGGCCCAGATTTTGAATTATTCAAACTAAAGCCCTTGCAAGAAGGTACCCCTCCTTATTTGCGAGGCTCTATTATATCAGGTACACAATACACGTGCAGTACTGTGACCTCGCTTTATTAGGACACGACAATGAGCCTAGTAGCCTCATAATGGGGATTACTATATCCTGACACGGACAACATTATGAAGAAGCACTGTACAATGTACATAGTACCTTGTGTGTATAGTGCACTTCAGAGAATAATATACGGTAAAATATAAATGAAAAGCTCGAATAGCACAAGTATATTGAAGTGTAGGGTACTAAACAGCAGGTTTTACACGGTACTAGACGTTCGATAAGACCTGTGTTCAAGGTTTGTACGGGTACAGTGTATGTAGGGAGCTGGGAGGGTGTGTTCTGTGTTCCAGAGAACACTCTTCTCAGTTCTCACCCTTCTCACCCCGTCCCCCGACCTCACTTCACCCAGATTTCTCTCTGACTTCTCCTTCCTCTACTCCACTCGTCATGGGGCACGTACATGACTTTTCTTGAATGTAAGACGATAGGAAGGCAAGTTAAAGGACCTTAAGATCCCAGTACTGAAATCCTAAATTTGAACATTGTGTAAACTGTAAATCAGGTGAATTTCTGCTCACAATAAAGTGGTGTAATTTGTATACTCTGAATAATTAACAGTAGGAAATATGCTCACGAAGTCGGCTTAGTAATTCACTTTGGTGACCAATTAGTGAGCTGTATTTCAGTTAAACTAACCAATAATAGAGCTGTGCCTAGTCGAACTAGCCAATTAACATACTTCATATTTTGGATAACTCGAAATGCATATTATATATTAATAATGCAATATCATTTCTGGTCAAGATAAACATAATGAACATAACATACATTGTTTCACTTCCTGCGTTTATCTTGACTAAGGTAACTAGGTAATTACAATATTGGGTTTCTTCTTTCCACTAACATAGAACTCTCATAATATTGAAGTATTATATCAATAGTATGAATACTGAATACGTAAATAACCGCATATTATCAACTTAAGAAGTTTTATTACACTACTTAATATAATGAATGATATTATTACCTCAACAGTTTTATTACTCAAAAGTCAAATCCCCGCTATCTTGACTGATTTCCTTCTTGTCTTACAGATAATTTCCATCTCTAACTAACTTACGTGTATCAATTATACCGAGACAATTACCGTGAACATTTTGTGTAAGCGAGTGTTGGTATTTCAAGTTAATACGAACTAATTATACCTTAATTGGTTTATAATTGGAAGATAATTACCTTAATTTGTAGCGAATACCGAAATTACACGTACAAGCAGTTCTATTTTAACTTACAAGCTGTCATGTACAAACTTGTGTGCAAAATTTAAATGAATTCTTTATAAATATTGTAGTTACTATGCAATGTTTTAACATTATATTTTTTAAAGAGCATTGAGGCCCGAGGGCCGATCAGATTAAATCAAGCGTACAATTACACACTGGACATTGGCAATGTGAAAAGATTTGACAATAAATACATATTGTGAATGTGATACGGCAACATCAGTGTGCCTGGGTATACTGATATTGGTAGTTACATTAATCGTTATTATAAATGTAGAGTGTAGAGTGTAGAGGCCCTTTGCAGGTTCAACTAGTTTCAATGTGAACCTGTTTGAGTCATTATTAATTCCAGACGTATGACTCTAGTTTCTAACTGCAACTCATAATAGCATTGTACAAATAGCATTAGTTAATTAGTAATTAATGTAACCTGCTGCTAAGGATACGAGAAGATACGAGACTTTTCTCCCCGTTATTGTTCTTTGCTCCCATCGCACTTAGAAAGTCCAGGATCATCTTCGTGCTCTCTGTTTTACCCGCTCCTGACTCACCGCTGAAAACATTCAAAATATTCAAAATATTCGAAAATGCTTGAAAATATTTTTGTAGTACTTAAGAATATTCAGAATCTTAATTATTGGTATTTAAATATTATTTTATTATCTTGGTCGACACTTACTGTAAGTCCCGAAACTTAAGATCAGAGTTAATGAATATTCCCAATCACGTAATGTATTGTTTTTAATTGTTTATAATTGTTTGTAATTTTACTGGGTTACTGGGGAGTGGGGAGGTGTTGTAATTTTTCATCCAACATAAGATTAAGTCTAAAGATAAGGTAAGATACAAAATAAACATCGCCTTGCTATCAGTTCTCAAGTTCATAACAGTTTGAAATATAGTTTTGTAACCTGATCAAAACACATTGGCTTTCTCCAGTTTTCCAAACGTTTCTAAAAGCTTCGTTAGCAATTGCATAGATATGTGGCTTGTCTTCACCAATGAATAACTGAAAAGTAAGAACACGGTTTTAACACAAATTCGATTGTTATTTCTGTTTATTTGTCTGAAATATTGATAGAGAATCAAGCTGAGAGTTCAAGAATAGGTTGGACTCATCTTCACAAGAGCACATACCTTGCTATATTTATCAAGATTCTCGTTAGAGTAGAGCCCACTGATAGGCTTATAGGGGTTCACCGCAACTAATATAGATCCGATGTATGTCTGAAAAATGTTCAATGATAAACAACATTTACATTTTAAATCTGTTAACTTGAGTATAATAATGATAATATTGTAATAAAACAAGAAAATTTTAACAATTCCTCGGACAATTGTAACAACGATCCATTTAAAATCATTACTGATCAGGTTAGTAGCTCATTTCAACTCACGTAAATCTCATTGGAAAAGTATCTGACTTTAAGGTTGTGGAGCAATGAACCCTCGTGAAGGTCACTTAGTGATGCCATGTCAGGGGTACCAGTTAAACTGGATGGGTGCATTATGCTGTACTTATCTGTTGTCATGTCACTACTGTTCACCTTTACGACCTGCAGTAGTTACGGATTAAATTTTGTTTATGTTCGATCAAGCATGCAAATTACAAATTTTTAAAAGTAAATGAATATTCAATTCCATCCAAAAGTCATCTTAACTGACATTAATGACAATTATAATCGATAGCACTTAGAAGTTGAATGTGTAATAAAAACGAATAACTAACCTCATCATTATCAATCTTTAAGGTCAGGACTCCATTTGCCGAGGAAATAACATTTGCAGGAAGGAAACAATCCTTTTTCACCCACACCCAGCCACCCTGATAAAAAACATTAATACTATTAGATTTTCTGAATTAATTAATTACCTCCCTCACGTCAGACATTCAGATCTTTAACATAAATTTATAGAGAAATTGTTAACTTTATTAGATAGAAATGTGGCAATGGAGATAGGGGGAAAGATGTAATTCCTTATTACGTGACAAACTAGCGTGGTTAACAGATTACACTTGCTTTAGAACAAAAGTCGCAGACAAGTATAAAAGATACAAGTAATTCCTTTTAAAAGGTTTTTAAAACTCACCGGCTGTACTTCCAGAACTCCCATCTTATAGGTCTAGTGAACTGCTGACAATGACATAATCTAAGCTGAAGGGATATGTTTTATTATTTAAAGGCTGTCAACTCCTTGTGATAGAAAACTCCCTTCTCTTTTGATTACTAAGTAAAACAAAATTTAAGTAAAACAAAATTTAAATTTTATTGCCATTACAATGAATAATAATATCATAATAAATATAAGTAGACATCCGATAATAAACTTGTTACATCCAGTACAACCCAAGATGTCAGCCGACGCGACTTACAAAAATAAAGAAAGCTAGCATGTTCATTGTTGATAGTTTTTCTAACGAGCATACTTAGGCTGTACGGAATTAGCTTTAATTCTACGTCATATTAAAAACAATACATCATTTTTGCTAGATACAAAAATAAATTTTAAAATAAATAACTCTTTTGCTGCTTAGGCGCGGCACCGCGCTGGGTCCACATGTTATACAGCGTGTAGCAACACAGCGCTGAAAATAGAAGATGATTGAAATATAACATATAAGCGGTGCGCCGCGCCTAAACCTAAAACCATAAACTTTAAATTGTAAATTGTAAATATTGTCAAGATATTTAAACGAGTTTTGCGAAATAATATGACATGCTGACTTCGTAGGATATTACAATTATACCCGTGCCAGTTCCAAATGTGAGTCAGCGCTTAAACCAAAAGCAGTTGGCAAAAGGAGCCAGTTGCCTGCAAGAGCTTTACTAGCACCCGATTTACCACTTTTGGAGCACAAACTCAAACCTAAAACCGGCCAAGCACAAAAATATGTTATCGCCACGATTGGGTGGATTGATTCCCAGAATATTTATCAGCACGCGGCACTAATAATATGAAGTTCATTATCGAATTTTAGATATGCCATGGATCGTTTAACACATATATAAAAGGTTATTAAAGAATAATTAATGTTTGGTTGTTGGTATAAATCGATATTAATCAATTATTTAAAATAGTATTTGTGTTTGTTATTATTAACTATTGAGTTACGTTCGATTTAAATATTAAAACATTACTACAATACATTTCACAAAACAAAACGACGGGGACACAGAAAGGAGAAGGACAACACATCACACGGACGGAAACTGCTGCTGTTGACGAGTATCTGATTATATTAATTATGGGTCTCTTGTTCATTAAAATAGGTGTGATCATACTTCTAGAGTATATTGGGCTGACACAGTTGCTGCAAGGTTAACATTGGGGTCCAAAACCGGGAGTGTGATACAACTTATTTTCGCGTTACGTAGTAAGAGATACAAAATATAAAATATAAGATATAAATGCAAAATGACTGCAAGTTTACGGATATAGCGCGGCGTCATTTTATTATTCTGGCGCGGTAAATCACGCTGGGTAATGAAATGATAAAGTTATACAATGTTTAAGTTTCGCGCGCTACGTTTACACAATATATTTGTGAGTCCGTCCCACGTTCCAGACGACACTCCAGACAAGTCCAGACACCAGTGTAAAGCGGTTGAGCTGATCAGTGTTTTGTGTTATATGCGTGAATATATAGTTTCTATGTTTGACTGTGGTGTGTATTGTGTGTGTTATTTTGTGTGTGTAGTATGAAATCTATATGGACTAGTTTGTGTGTTCTTATTATAGGCACATGTCATTTCCATCAAAGTTGAGTTCTGACCATTCATCAGTGTTTCCAGCTTTTTGAGCATTGAGTAGCATAGTTTTAATGCGACCTTTAACAAGTGCAATTGGGGACGAGAAGTCAATCTTACTAGAAGGTTTAAGGAATTTATTCCACATATTCGAGGTTTTATATACAAACAAATTGGTTGCAGCGGGGTTAATAAAGTAGTTATCACGTCGGGGTGACTTTTGAAATAAATTGTACATCGGTATTGGAGTGTGAAGTTTGATTATTTTAAACATTTCAAGTAGACAGTGGTACTTATACAAATTATGCACGCAGAGTATTTTGTTTCTGCTGAGAAGGGGTTTACTTGATTCTCGTTTATAGAAGTCGGCTCCAAGTTTTTGGGATCCAATTGGGCGGGTTCTAGCACATGTTTTGAACTTATTACTGTATGCCTCTTGATCACCAAATAGAATACGAGTGCACTTTTTTTGAATTTTAAATATTGGTTCAAGCCTATTGTTCGATATGCCTCCCCACACTGAGATCCCATATCCTAGATGAGATTCGAAGAGGGTGTGGTAGAGGTCATTATACAGCTCTTTAGGTATAAATCTTCTCATACGGCAGAGTTTACCGACTTCACACTTTAATTTAGAACTAAGATATGCAGTATGAGGTTTCCAGTTAAGGTTTTTATCTATAATAACGCCGAGGAATTTAGTTTCATCAACACGTTTAATGACTGTGTTATTCAACGTTAAAATAAGATCATTACTATTACTACTACTACTAGTTACATCCTTCTTTCCTGGTGTAAAGTGAATGTAACAGCATTTCTTGATGTTAATGTGGAGAAGATTGCATTTCATATAATTGTAAACAGAATTCATTATAGTATTAGCTTTTTGGTAGAGATTCTGGACAGATTTGTCGACTACAAATATATTGGTGTCATCAGCGAAAAGTATAAATTTTCCTAGGTCTGATGAGTTATAGATATCGTTTATGTAAATTATAAACAGTAGCGGTCCTAAAACACTACCTTGTGGTACTCCACAAATAACAGGGAGTTTATCAGATTCCTCACCTAAAACTGAAACGTACTGCTGTCTGTTAGATAGGTAACTTCCAATAAGCTCGTTTGCGTTACCTCTTATACCATATTTGTCAAGTTTTATGAGAAGTTTATCGTGACTGATAGTGTCAAATGCCTTTGATAAGTCGATAAAGATACCTAATACATGTTGCTTTTCCTTTATATGGGAGTTTACATAGTCAACTGAGTAATTAAGGGCGTGGTTAGTTGAGTGACTCTTCCTAAAACCAAACTGGTTCTCAAACAAAACGTTCTGCGACACAAGAAAACTGTACAAACGGGAGTAGATTACTTTCTCAAATAACTTTCCGAACACAGCTAGGGTAGATACTGGCCTATAGTTTTCGAGATATTCTGTACCGTATTTTTTGTATATAGGGCTAATTTTACCAATTTTCAGTCGGTCTGGAAAAGTTCCATTTCTCATGTGTTCATTAAATAATACTGACAGGAGTGGGCTTATAATCTTAGACGTTCGTTTGATGACGTGAATAGGGATGTCACTAGCTTTTCCATTCTTGAGTTCGCTAATGATTTTCTCTATTTCTTCTGGTGTACAATCGCTGAGAAATATACTTGAGGTATTTGGCCTTGGTAAGTAGTCCGTAAAGCATTGAATTGGACTTAGTCTAACAAACGGGGGTTTAATTTCTCGTTTCCCTTTGCCGCGTATCTTATTGATTAGTTGCCATGTTTTCTTACTGTCACCTTGAACTTCATTAAATTTACCCATGTTGTACGAAGTTTGAGCCTTTTCACGTATAACTTTGAGTTCTTTTCTATAATATTTATAAGTTAAGTACTCACTGCGCTTTTTGTTACATACTGCGCAGTGACAGAAGCCACCTTTTGTGTCAGTATCTCCTAGATTGCACTTGACTTTACGAGCTTTGACCCAGTTTTCGTATAGTTCGTGACAGTGATTTATTGATGTTATAATTGCTGGTGTAATCCATGGATTGTTTTGCATAGTGCGTTTTGTACATTTCGGGGTTTCTAACTTGAAACATTCGTCAAAAGCAACGTTAAATGTGTCAGCAAAGGTATCAAAACAATTTATTACAGTGTTATCAAGACTATTGGATAGTTTGTCGGTGAACTTATCTACGTTAGAGTTACAGTAGTCATAAAACTGTTCATACTTAATCTTGCAATCGTTCTGGTCAAGGTGTGTGTTGAGTGCTAAGAATATGGGGTGATGATGTGTGATTTTGTCTTTGAATGTGCCAGATGTTATAATGTTGTCTAAATCATTGGTAATGATGTTATCGATGCATGAAGGAATACAGCCGGGTTTTTCATGGGTCCAACTACTATCTGGACAAACGGAAAATGTTAGACTTAATTTAAAATAAAGTAAAGTAAAGTCAAGTCAAATTTATGACATCACATCATCACAGATCTCTACAAAATATCATTACACTATTTGAAAAAATAATGTATATAAAACCTATTCATACTTCCCAGTGGAATGAAGATTTATAAAGCCCTTTTTTACCACATCATTTTTATTTTCAATATAATTGCTTCCTTTAATTCTAGAAATAATTTCTCCTGTTACTTCCCAGAAAGAATTATCCTTGCTTAACGAATTAACAAAACACCTTTTCTTAAACTACTTCAGCTTAATTCTAAAACTCAAAACACTATCTGAATTCTTGATCTCAGAAGGGAGTTTGTTCCAGTAAAGAATAGCTCACTCCGGAAGAAATGACTTCTTAATATTTTTAATCTTAGTTACTCTCTTCCTACATGCATCTGTTACTTGAAACAAGATTAAGACCAGAACTGCTCATTCTAAACATACCAATCCATAATTAGTCAAACCACTGCAACTGGTTACTGTGAAAGCCCTTTAAATAAGGTCACCACATATTCGCCGCTCTGACACACAACAAAGGGGCAGGTCTCTCCCGGTGTTGGGATGGTCTGAGGTGCCTATCACCTTTTCAGTTACCCTAAGCTTACTGGGCCGCGCTCAGCCTGTCATTCCGCCTAATCTCTATTCTATGTTTATGAACATAATAGCCTGGCCTGAGGTAACCCTTAGCTAGTCTGTGTGAAGGCACTATACTAGTATACAGGTTGTAGGGGTTAGTCCTATGAGCCAGGGGGTGTGTAATGTGTGTCACCAGCTAAAGCTGTACCAATTTGCAGCTTGGTGACTGGCCGACTTGCATCAGACCGGATTTTACCACTACGCCACCCAGCAAACTGCGCGTTTTGCTCTAGAAACACACTTTTATAGAGATTTTACCGGCGTATCCTCTAAAATCACCTAATTTGTTCAATTTTAGGGAGGAGCGCCAAAAGTGGAGGGGGTGCCAATAGGAGGCGCATTTTCGGCGGAGGGCGCCAACAGGCAACGTTACGCCACTGAGGCCTATCAATATTTATTATTTCATATTTGAATGACTTGTATGTGACTTTGCAAGAGCTGCCATGAATTGACATCGTCAATTAATATCAATTATATCATCGTAGCTATTAAAATAAAAATATTGCAATCAAATAAATTATCTATACCATTGGAGGGCTTCGCCGCGCCGCGCATACTAGCATTCTTGCTTCTGACAAAATGGTTGCAAAGCAACATATTCAATGTTTAATCTTTGAAATATTTTATAAAAGCATGACTAAAACAAAATTTTGGTTATTAAACGTAGCCGTAAAAGTAAAAAATAATTTTCAAAAAAATCGAGTGCAAAAGAAAAGTTGCTTAAAAACTACTTATATGTTTCTAGGGATATTGTTTTTGGCATGTGACAGTGTTTACCCTTTTACTCCGGGGAGAAGAAAACAGAAAATAAAGCAATTTTTACTCTTTTTTTCTTTCTTTATTGCATAATGCATTGAATCGGTGACGTATAGCCGAGAAAAGCCCGTTAATGTTTTTTTGGTAATTATATGTTTAGTTGAAACAAATATTATCAAGTATCAGTATCGCCCGTTAACATATAGTAAAACCAATAGTTAACATAGCATATTTTATTTTCATTAGTTCACAGTGGGCCACCATGCTATATTAGGTTCAAAATTGAGTATTTCGATTTAGGATGCATTTAAAATGATCTGATCGGAAAAATGTTTCCCTCCAAGATGCAAAAAACCGAAATTAATAATTCCGTACGGTTCAACCGCGACGCTGCCTCGAAAATCGCAATTTTTCAAAAATCGGTTTTGTTCCTTTTTGGCAGTGAAAAATTGCTGTTATTTTATGCCTGTTCTTCAAATATGATATAATTAAGTAAGCTGACTCCTTTTACATCTCAAAACAACTCTCAGATCTTAATTTATTGAAAAAAACCTTAATAGGCTATCTAATTTAGCTGATTTTTGACATTAGCCTGAGTTTTTGTCCCATTTTTAGGCAAATTTTTGGTCTTCCAGACCAAAAATAGTTGTTAGGCCGCAATAGGCCTCCATATTCCATAGTACCATCTGAAAGCTTAGAGGATTCCCTACAATATACAAGAAAAATCAACTTGGGCAAACTTGGGCATTATTTTAAAATGCCGATTTGTTACCAATTTATTGGCTTAAACTATGTTATTTAGGGCTTATGCCCAAATATGGGCATACATATTTTTGTGATAACTCAGCCATCTTTTGTTCAATCTTGATGAAATTTTAAATACAAGTTCTGAAAGCCTTCAGCTGCAAGAAAAGCATTTCAAAACTGATTTTGTGGCTTGTGTAAGGAATTTTGAATTTTTGGGCATTTTGGGGCTAAAAATTCAAGGAGCATAATTCAAAAATCCCCAATTTTCTCAGTTTTTGTGTATAGTAGGGTCTTGAAATTGGTTTGGATGGTTTTTTTGGGTCAAAGCAGTCTACAGAACACCTTTCAGACATATTTGGATGGTACTAACATGTCTAATATAGCTTGCCCCCCTATTCTGGCCCACTGTGTAGTTTATTATCGGATGTTCAAGTTTTCCTGTTTAATTCATAATTATAATATCAACGTAATAATTATTTTGTTAAGTGAAACGCATGTAAAAATAATCCAGAAACCAACTTATCTAATGATGATTGACCATTGTTAATGATCTGGCCCGGCGCGCGCTACTTCGTAGCACTAAAGCACTTGCCATCGGGCGCTACTTCGAAGAAATTTAGACGAGTAACATCCGTCAATAATGATGAATGTGTCAATAGTTAATACGTACCTAGGAGTCAATGTTCATCTTGGATTTAACAGCATGCGATGTTGAAGGTAGCTAGTATTAAATAATTCTTCTGCAGACTTTTGTCCATATTACCTGCATGGGACAAGTAATTTTTAGGAACATAACGATTTACTAAAAAGCAAACCTGTTTAATACTGTTACTAGGAGTATAAATGTAATCAGTGTTTTGCCTTTTCACTGTATAATATTAATAACGTAAAACGTAAATAAAAATGTCGATTTGTATGGTAAATCAATATTCAAATTTAAAAGCATCCGTGTGGAAAATATATTTTAACTTACGTACTATATTGAGAATGAATGTGATAAAATTATAAGCACAACTTTTGTTTTATTTAATATCGTTCACCTTTAAGGTATTGCGGAATTTGTTGTTCTCGAATTCTAACTTTGAGAGTTTGACCGTGCTATTACCACTGTCTGGGGGCAAAATAATTTCAATTAAGTTTTTATGATTAGTTGTAAGACCATTTAACTAATGATGAAAATTAACAAATCATATATTTTTAAGTATACATTGACTGGTACTATGGGCCAGTCCCCACTCAATCAATTATCTAAAATTACCTTCTTGAACACGATCAAAACAAGTTGCCCATTCTCTGATGCTTGAGATGACAAAGACTCTGAAACCAGTCACTGTAAAGTAAGCGAAAAAGTTTCCCATCAGATTGAGATTGAGTGCCACTGTTAATGCTATGCTGTAGAAATAAGCATGAAAGAAGTCAGGCTGGATTGGGTCCTTTTCCAATTGTGGCTCAACAATAGAGTATATCGTCATGGGTATGACAGATAGAGTGTACACAGATGCAGAGACTATAACCATCATGATTCCTTGCCAACGTACACTTCTCTGGCAATCTAGTGCACCCTTAGCTACCCTAATAATCAGCATTACCGTTGCTACTACAATAACTATATTTGGTGTCAGCAGAAAAATTAAAGAACCTATTGGAGCGAGAAAATGCCAGATATCAGAGGAAAACTCGTAGTCGTATGAGAAGACCCTCGCATCATAGTACAGATCCTCCTTATCTACGACAAGAAAAGTAACTGGGTTGTAGAGAGACAGGAGCCAAATAGCCAGACAAACTCTGTAGGCACGCTTCTTCGACCAAGTGCTCGCTCTAAGAGGGTATATAAGCATCAAGAGCTTGGTAGTGGTTAAGGCACATATCAGTAATGAGCCAGCTGGGTAGCAGTAGTAGCACACAAACACTCTTATGTAACTAAAGGGCATTCCAAGGTCCCAACCTCTGCCTCCTATGATCGTTGAAACAGCATTTGGCATTACCCACAGGACACAGAGCACTTAATCAATCACAGCTATTTGCTGGATAAGGGTCACAATGATGATGTGCAAGTTAAATACTTTGTGTCTTAGTGATGAGTAGAGGATGGTGGTGTCTCCAAGGAGCGAGCTAAGGATCACAAGGATATACCAACCAGCCCAGGTGTATCTTAGTGCATCATTCTTTATCTCAAACATGGTAGTGTTGGAGTAGTTGTAGGCCACCATATCCCTAAATACCCAGCTAATATATCATATGTGTTATTTAAGTTTTAATGTTTATCTGTTTGTGTTCAAGTTAATTAGCAAAAGAACAAATTGGTAAATTTGTAGAGCAGAAAATGATGGTCTTGTTTTTTGAGATGACAAGATGGATCCAGTAACTAATGAAAATAAAAACTGAAAATGCTGTAGCTAGAGAAGAAAAGAACTCTTTGAAACGGTCAAAAATACAGATTCTCATCGTTCTTAAAAGTATAATGTTACTTATTCGTGAGTTAATATGACAATGTTTTGTATCCACAATTCTAGGTTATAGTGTAGCATATTGAAAGATAAAGCACTGTAAACTTCTCAAATAACAGAAAAAAGCTACAAACTTCGACAGAAACATTATGCACCAATATACAGATTTTTTCCCGATCCATGACTCAAAGTGCCGAAGGCACAAAAGAGTCAAGGACAAGGGTTAGCGAACGAGGTTTTTTTTTGTATATGGTAGCTTTGCGACCGTACCTGCGAGCGACCGTACCTGCCTGCACACACTGTAATCGCCCACGTGACTACCTGCGCAAAGTTATTTTGCGGAATAATCCGAATTAGCTAATTGTTGGCGCGCGGCGCTGAACTGACCAAGTACATTGTTAATTTCACCATGTACATATCCCACTAGGCACTAATTGATAGCATACTATTATTATTTTGAGTTACTTATACTATTTTGCACACATCCGTGTCGGGTGTCAGGTTGCATAAACAATAAGCATATGGTTTTTTAAAATATACACGATTTTCAAATTCAATATGGAATTATATTAACTTGGTGGCGCTCGGCCTGTCACTTCGCCATATCTGCATACTTATAAACAGTAAAAACTGGGGTCCCCAGGTTGTATAGAAAATGATAAAATACGCCATCACGGATCGGGAAATTGAGCGGCCATGCACAAAAAAAAGCGGCCGCATTTCTTGTTATTGTTCCTTTGAGAGTACTAATTTGTGAGTCAATGTGAAAATATTTTATATCTACAATGCTCGGTTACAGTGTGGCATATTGAAAGATAAAGCACTCTAAACTTCTCAAATAACAGGAGAAGCTACCGACTTCAACAGAAACATTTTATGCTAGCTATTGCATAAATTTGTCAATTTAATTCAGACTTTTAAAATGAAGGCAAAACGTTTTTTATTAGGCAAAAATAAATTTCAGTTTTTCTTTCAACTTCCCTTGAAAGGACCATGCCTTGTATTTGAGAAATCAGGCATACATCGATAATATAGACAGTGATTCTGAGTTTTAATTGGTCAACACTGGAAGCTGATTGATTAATCACTGTCACATGTCAGAAATATGGTCTACTTTTTCACCTGTATCAGTGTATCTGTAATATATATTGTTGGTAAATTTTCAAATATTATAAAACGTATTATATATAACTGTTAATTGTAGAATTTTGTTTTGCAAAGGATTTAAATTTATTTTCCCAAAAGAGGTTACATGATGCTGCAATGTTAAAACTATCCTTTCCGTCTGTTGCTCGAGGCTGGGCTCAACTACCTGCTGCTTCAACTTCAAAAGTGCTTGCTGTTACTTGCTCTAGGAAATTGTCAACTGATGATGGTTACATTCACAGGTCTCTCGTACCAACTGAGGTAATATTAAAGTAGAATATTGTAATGAATTCAGTCATGAGATTGATATAAAGTATCTTGAATTTTGCCAAAAATTCCCTTAAAGAGAATATTATTAATAATTCGGTTGTGTTGCTACAATTCTTAACTGCTAAAGATTTCACCAATATTCTTCAGCATTATCAGAAGTCCCTACCTCGTTTACCAATCCCAAAACTAGAAGACACCTGTTCACGTTACCTGGCAGCTTTAGAACCAATCTTAACTACATCAGAATACAAGGACAGTGAGAAGATTGTCAACGAATTTCTGAATGGTAAGCATTTTAATATTACTGCCCTGTTATTTTGTACATTCATGATCGCTTTTTATTCTTAACTTGTGCAATTTGCATAAAATCAGTAATATGTGTTATACAACCACTGCACAGGACAAGGCAAAGAGCTACAAGCACATTTGGTTGCAGCAGACAAACAGAACAAAAACTCTTCTTTCATCCACCAACCTTGGACTGAGGTTTATCAAATGGACAGAAGACCTGTGGTTCTTAACCACAACCCCTTTTTGGGATTTGTGGACGACCCAGATCCAACACAAAACACTCAACTCAACCGCACAACAAATCTGATTTTATCTTCTTTGAGATTTTACAGGACGTATAGAGCTGGTCTCCTTGAGCCAGACATTTACCATATGAATCCTGCTAAAAGTGACTCTGACAGGTTCAAGAAATTGATCAGATATGTTCCTAAATCTTTATCTTGGTATGGAGCTTATCTTGCCAAAGCATTTCCTCTTGACATGAGGCAGTACCCATACCTGTTCCAATCTACTCGGGTTCCTAAGAGAGGAAAGGATGAAAACAGGAGGTACCCAGACTCCAAACACATTGTTGTTATTCACAAGGGTCACTTCTACAGTATTGATGCTCTGGATAGTAACGGGGATATGCTTGATGGTGGGGTTATCAAATCAAGTCTTGCTCAAATTTTAGAGGATCCAAGGGAAGTTAATTTCAACTCTATTGGTTACTTTACTTCGATGAATAGAGACTCTTGGGCTGACATCAGGGATGAGTTGGAATCACTCAACCCTGAACTCATTCATAAAATTGATAGTTCAATGTTTGTGCTGTGTCTTGATGAGTATGATGTTGCGAAAAGAGCACCTGGTACTGAGATTAGTGTAGCAGATGCAATCCCTCTCATTAAAAATGGGTTACACGGGGAAGCTTACAACCGGTGGTTTGACAAATGTTTTAACATGATTGTGACAAAAAATGGGAAAGGTTCCATCCACTTTGAACATTCCTGGGGAGATGGAGTGTCGGTATTGAGGTATTTTAACGAAATTTATAAAGATTCAATAGCAAAGCACCATGTGGGACCCACTGAAGGAGGAAGTGCTGTGAAACTGGATCCTGAGCTGTCTCCTAATCTGATTCAAGCATTAGAAAATGCTCGAGGAGATTTCGAAAAAGTAAAGAATAGCTTTGTGCTTGATGTTATGAAGTTTGAGGGCTTCGGAAAGAATGACTTAAGAAAATTAAAAGTTAGTCCAGACTCGATATGTCAGCTTTCATTCCAGATGGCAAACTGGAGATTCAAGAGGGAGTTTGTGGGTTCTTATGAGTCCTGCAGTACTGCTGCATTCAAATATGGCAGAACTGAAACAATCAGACCCTGTACCAAAGAAACAAAAGCTTGTAGCATCGCATTTGACAAAGAAAATCCAGCACAGTTAGATGAGATGTCCGAACTATTGAGTGCTTGCTCCAAAAAACACAACAAACTTACAAAAGAAGCTGCCATGGGCGCAGGATTCGACAGACATCTCTTTGCTCTGAAGTTCCTAAATAACAAACTAAACGGTGCACCGCTCCCCATCTTCGAGGACCCTAACCACGCTAAACTAAACTACATAATCCTCTCCACCAGTACGTTAGTATCCCCCGCGCTGGAGGTAGGCGGGTTCGCTGCGGTGGTTCCTGATGGGCTCGGGATTGGTTACGCCATGTTTGATGACTGGTTTGGTACTCAAGCTTCTTACTACCCTCCAGGTAATGATGGTAGTGAGTTTATAAAGGAACTAACTGGGGTTTGTGAGGACTTGAAGACAGTGCTCAATGGGAAGAGTTTTAAAGAGCCAAGACAAGTTTAGACTCTAGACTCTAAACTTTAGAGTTTGTCTTTAGTGGAGAGAAATTAGGAAGATTAGAGAAGTAGACTTATAGTTGCGGCTGTGCCTGTGTGTATAATGGGATTTTATAGTTACTGAATTTTAATTGCTATTAAATCATGCTACTTAATTTTAGAGATTGTATTTATAAGACAATTAAAAACGTCACAACTTGACAAGTATTATCATTCTCCGTCACATTTTGGGTGGTGTTCTATTTTGTGTGGTTGAGCTTCGTTTGTGTTTTCCGAAGTAAGCATAGTGTGGTATTTCGTTCATTGTTGAATTTAATTTAATATTTTAGTCATTTCAGAATGTAATAATAACATGTCACAAGCAATTTTCTGTGAACAAAGAACCGTGTGTCATCTTTATATTCCATTGATAATTTGTTTCAATTTAAATATAAGTAAATACATTTCAAACCTTAATTTATAAATCAATCAATCTAGGAAGCTTTCATCTGTCAAATATCAGTTTTACATACCATGAAGTTTTTCGGTAATTCATAAATTTCAAAACATGTAATCATCAGGTCTGCTCTGTAATTATATAAATTTTAAAGATCCGATGATTCACTTCATTATTCACTTATTACTTAGTATTGGATAGATCTGGATAATTGTGGATAATGGTGGGGTGGGAGGAGAACCATATTTGTTTTGACCAGGGATCGACCGGGGACGAAATTTAGCCGGGGCCGGGGCCGGGACCAAGTTGAATCAGCCGGGGCCGGGATTAAGCGGGATTTTGAAATGTTGCCAAGGCCGGGGCCGGGATTGGCTAAAATATGCCGGGGCCGGGGCTGGGGACGGGATTTTTTAATCTAATTTTGAAAATTTTTTTTTTCAAAACTTTTGACCCGTGAATATGGTTATCCTCTCCATCTGTATCCAGATCTGTAGGTTAAGATATTAATTTTATAAAGTATATAGATATTTGACATATTTCAGCTGTCATTGCATGTAGAGTCACAATGTAGCATTAGTAGTTTAGTTACTTCTGTATACAGAAATAAGGTTTTTCTGTGCTCCTTTTACCTCATATTTGATATCATTGATGGATTTGTATATTAGATTTTAGAATTGTATCCCTGTTTTGCACAATGTTATTGGTTTTATTTTAAGAATCGAAATTGTGCTTCAAATTATGAATTATCGCTTGAATGAAAACGTCACAAGTCATCGTAATTTGTAAGATTATACAAAATTATCATAATCTGTATTATACATTCAATCGTTGGTGCAGTGTTAAATGTACCAGTAGTCGCAAAATATCACTTTTTGAACTGCAGTCCATTTTAAAGTTTTCCGCAGTAGATACTCGTATCGTGTTGCTAACCTCACACTCTCACAGCTACGATGTTTAGATAACAGGTACATTTCCCTGTAAAACAGCTCCAATATGAACAGCACTACTTTTACTACTGACGCCTCATCCACAGACCTCTCTACTTCACTTAGGTATTGTTTAGTTAATATTTACTGGATATATTGGAATGGTTTCCAATTATAAGGAATCTTTAGTTGATCTGATTGGAATCATGTTGTGATAAAGTATTATTTAAATTGGACTATCTGTTATTTACCATTAAGTTTAACCTCTATAGAGTAGATAGATTTACAGCAACTTCACATAACGAATAAAGCTATGATAGTATGTAAAGTAACTAGTAGTACGTAAAGTAACTAGTACTAACTACAGAATTAAACCATAACATTGTATCCTTCCCACAGTGTGCTATCAAACACGTTAGCGAACGAGTCAAACCCGGAACATGCGCGCACTATCATTGAGAAGCAGCAGCTGGTACACCAGTGTGAGATGATGAAGATAGAGATAGCACAGAAACATCAGCAGATAATGGTATTTAGTTGTTGTTGAGCCAGGCTAGTTGGTCGTTTGTGGGAGAAGTTTAAATAACCTGCTAAAAAACATTAATAATTAGAATTTATTCAGAATTAAAAAGTTTTAAAATATTTAAGATTGTGACTCACTACCACTCCAGGACACAAGAGCACAGTACGAATCTCGTGCAGAGGAGCTGGAAGAGCAGCTACATTCTGCGCGCCATGCGCATCAAGTCGTGCAGTTCAAATTAAACAGTGCACTTGATCAGCACAGTAAGGAACTCAAAACTGCTCAGGTTAGTTTAGACTCTAGATGTTTTTTTGCATCGAAACAGTTCCTTTTACTTCGGATTCGTTTAACCATATAACGGTGATTTTTGTATAAAAGGTAACCCAGGCTTTCAGAATCAGCGCATTGATTATTATTGGTTGTATCTTGAGGTTTCTATATTGCTAAATCAAGTGTTGGTATTATATTATGGTATTATTAGGTAGGCTTTATTCACATAAAGCATCTTAGCTTCTAGAAAGTATATAACTGTCTAGTCTATCATTGTGTCATAATATGGGGCAAAACAAAACGACTGGATACAAGTGGGGAGTTGGCTCACTTCCAGGTCTTTTGACTATAGAATTGATTCGTTTTAGAAAGTTTGTGGCACAGTCTATAGAAATTAGAATGTACGACAGTTCTTCAATCATATATTCCATGCGGCCAATTAGAATTGCATATTGTCTGCGGATGACTCCATTGTAATTCCATTGTAAAGAATTTCCACCGTCTACTATACACTGTGTTCCATTCTTTGTTCCCTGGAGATAGCTACCAACATATTACTTGTAGTGACCACACCCTAACTATTACACAGAAGTGTATCATTGTCACATTCATTGAGTAATTCCTTTCCTGATAAGAACCTTTTCCTTCTTGCATCAAACGGGATCAATAGAAATTTACCCAAGAAAACATTTCAACTATGCGACTCATAAATCTCTAAATTATTTACTATTTTTATTGTAATATTGCTGTGTAAATTTGATTCTAATTCTAATTCTGATAAATATGTAATATTCCAATCCGGATTTTACATTGTCACATTACCACAACATTTACCACAACATTTACCACAACATTTACCACAACATTTACCACAACATTTGCCACAATATTTACCACAATATTTACCACAAAATGCCAGTCTAACACACTGTTGCTATTACACAGGAAGCGAACAGTGACCAGATTGTTATGTTACGAAGAAAACAAGCAGAGATAGAAACACTGCTCCCTTCTTTGCAAGTCAAGTCAGCTGATATTAGAAACACCTTACTTAACGTACATGTTACTGATACTATGGTATGTAAAGTATGATACTTATGGTATGTACTATGGTATATGTACTATGGTATGTACTATGGTATGTTACTCTTTAGGGGGTCGGGGCGGGGCTCGAATATCACTTTAAAATAAGCCAATTCAAAGGGCATACTTTAATGACTATTTTTTTTTCAGTGCACCTTATTGTAGTAACTAATTAACTATGTAGTAACTAATTAACTAATTAATTGTAGTACAACTATGAACTATCTGCTCCTCAGTACCAACACCTGGCGATAAAGCAACGGGAGACTTTGACAATGAAGGAACTTATACAAGTTTCCTTCTACGAGTTCCAGTTACCTTTACAGAAGAGACTGGAGGAGATGAGCAGTAAACTGAAGACTCATCAGGAACAATATGATATCTCCAAGAAAGAGGTTAGATCTTTAATAGTACACGAAAATTGACCTGGATCCAGCTGGAGGGGGTTCTTGAAGCGTAAATGATAGGAAAGATGTGTGTATTGTGTAATAAGCAGTTACATCACTGCTTATAATGTGATAACATTATTTTCACAACTTTGAGTTGTGAAAATAGTTTTATCCAACGAGTTTGACGAGTTGGATAAAACGAGTTATATCCCGAGGTTTGACCGAGGGATATAACTCATGTTATCATATTATAAGCAGTGATGTAAATGCATTCTCTGATGATCTACGAAATGATGTTAGCGAATGCAGCATTTACATCGGAAATTAACGACCGATAATATTACTACATAGAACATTCCAGAGTCAAACTTTCTAGAGGACACATCCTTATCTCTTAAAATTGTTACAGGTCGCTGAGATGTTGCTAATTATTTTAAATTGGTCAAATAAGCTCAGTGAAGCTCACACTCACACAAAACTTGCCACAAATGGGTGACTACTTGTTATTGACATTCTGTAAAATTTTGAAGCAAAAATATTTATCAGAACATAAGTTATACCACTTTCTGTTTTTAAAATAATTAGCAACATCTCAGCGACTAAGGATGGACCAGGGAGATAACAATAGTTATCTCCCTCCCAGTTATTGCACCCCTATTTAATGCATTATATTAGCGTAAACAAGAGTGAGATAACAACTTTTACATTATGGACAGTTACACACTGATCATGAGAGAATGTGTATTATATCGTCTTCAGCGAAAATATAGCTGACTCGTGAGCTTAGGACTAAGTGTGTTCTCCAATAACATCCTAAGTAGCAAATAGTGACCTGAGTTTGTTCCTTTAAATAAATTACAGTTGACTCGTGCGCTTGGTGCTAAATATGTTAGCTCATTATTACAATAATATACTAGCAAAGTAACATTATGTCGTGACTTCGGTTTCTTTGTTATTATTCACTAAACTACTTATCGCTAGGTGAAGATATTGGACAATAATTTGACAATAGAGAAGCAGAATAAAGTTGAGTTGGAAACAGAGAACTCTAGTCTCAGACAGAAGATTGACTTGCTCACTCACCAACTTAATCCATGTAATCATTAATTCTTGTTGCTTTTATTTTAACTCCTTAAGAAGTAAAATTATGTTTGTCGTGTTTCTATTGATCCTAAGCATGTTTGATTTAAATTTAATAATTAGACTTTTTAAACAAGGTATAATAATTAATAATGTTTCATATTCAATACTTAAATCATGCACCTTGTTCAACCCATAGTCATTACCCAAATATTCAATGCAATTCAGATAATATTAATGTATTTGATGATCAACAGATCAATATCCTGCATCCACGGTCCACCACGATTTGGATATCCCTAAATTCGTAACATACTGAAACAAAAATGTAACAAGAATGTAACAAAAATTTTTGCTCAGCTCACAAAGCGAACTATAAGAACGTGCTAGCGAAGAACATAGAGTTAGAGAGTGTAAACAAACAGTTGCTTACTGGGAACACTTATTTGAAGGTAGGAGTAACAATGTACCGTTACTGATAATACAAAAATACACTAACGTTTATGTTTTTTAGTAAATTTAAAGTTAGTACCCTCGTTGATTGACTCACTATATCTGAAGATTATGTTAATATTATTTCACACACGATTTATTTCTTCAATGACACAGAAACATTTAACAAACTCTTGACAGGCGGAAGTAGCAGCCCTGACAGAAGAGCAGAAGAAAAACAACTCCACATTCAGTGCACTGCGCCAGGAGTCAGCGCTGCTAAATCAAGACAAACAGTACTTGACGCGCGAGAACGCGGAGTTAACCTCACGAGCACATCGCACTGAGGAGAAACTTGATAATCTGACTGTGGAGTTGAACAGTGCTAAGCGGGCTAGAGATAAGGTAAGTGGTCCAGTACAGCTTATTCACTGGACTCTGTTCACTGTTCAGTTGATTATTTTTATTAGATTATTTTTATCAGATTATTTTTATTAGATTATTTTCATTAGATTATTTTTATTAGAGTTTATTACTCTTCTTAGTCATTATTATCTCTCCGAACTTTTCAATAAATGTTCGACATAATATTATATGTGTTGTCTTTTACAAATTACCAGATTACCAGATGACAGATACTCAAATTTGGCAGCTAATTACAATTATCAAAATATTTGTGCTTAAAATAATAGCTAAGCTCACAAAACAATTATCAACATTTTAAAATTGGTTGTTCAGTTAAATGCGCTGCTAATTGACTTAAAATTAACTTTTAATTGAGTGTTAATTGACATTTTTAAATTGATTTATAATTACCAGGTGTACGAGGAGTTAGTGAATGTAAGACAGAGTGTGACTCATGAACACGAACAGAAAGTGCAAACAGAAATAGATCTGCTAAAACAGAAAACAGGAAGTGAGATTGAGCATCTCCGCATCACTGCACAACAGGTATGTTTATCTCCAGACATATTTTACTCTGGGAATATTTTACAGTACTCTGAATTCTGATTAGTATTTTTTCTGGAGCAGTATGTGGTGTTGCATATATATATATTCAATTAGATTAAGTCCCATATTACACATTATGTATGTGTAAATAATTTGATTTGTTGATAACTCCTCATAGTAGCACTCACATTTTGGAATTCCCTCTTTTAATTAACAAAATACATTCCAAGGTGTACGAACGAGAAAAGCAATTACTAATCGACAGTCGCGAAGCAGCAGTCAGTGACCGTAACGATGCGCTCCGCAAAAACCGCGACCTACAAGACAAATACGAGGATATCTCCGGAAGCTATCATTCTTACCAAACTGTCACAAACACCAAACTCGCGGAGATTAAGAACACGTTAAAACTAAAAGAGTTTGAGCTGGAGAGAATTAATCTGCTCTACGGTGAAGTGAGCGGGAAATACAACGGAAGCGCTAAGGAAAATGATAAGATAGCTAAGAAACTTGAGGTTTTGTTGGATGAATACAACTCAAACAGATGTGATCATGTGAACGAAGTCAACACACTGACTCTAAAAGTTCGCACACTTCAAAATGAGTTATCAACTCTGAAAATCGGAGATGAGGGTATCAAAGATCTGATTCAGGTTTTGGGAAGCGAAAATATCTCTTGTAACAAAGAGCATCTTGCTAGAAAGTTGGTTGAACTATCCAAGAACAACGAACTGCTGAAAGAAAGTCTCGCTGCTAAAAGTCGTGTTCTAGAAAAGACACTGAGAACTTGTGAGGAGTTGCAATCAGCTCTGCATCACTCAAACCAGCCTTCAAGCTACTTAGTGGAGAGCATCAAGAAAAGGGATCAACAGATATCAAAATTCAAAACGGAACTCTTGAACTTATCAGCTAGTGTTAAGAAACTTGGCCAAGAAAACAAATCTTTGGTGGCAGACAAAGAGCAGTTGACTCTTGATTTGGAGAGAGCGTTGAAAAATAAAGAAAAAATTGCTGATTTAAAATCTATGGTAGAGAAAAAAATGACAATGACAGATAAAAATCAGCCAAAACCCGTCGTTTTTACTAAGAAATAATCACCATGCTATTTTCATCCTATTTAAGTATTTAGCATTATACTTCAATTTATCTTGGTGATCGTGATATAATTTGAAATTTTTTCCAGATATTTTTAGCTTGACACTTTCATAAATTGACAATCAGATCAATCACTTATAAGATAACAATATGCTGTCAGATGAAATAATTTATCTCATGTTATTGTTATGTAAATATATTGTAAATTATACTTTTAACTATTTATTAATGTTGGTAATCACACGTTATGATTTGTTTTACCAAAATCACTGTTATGTTAGAACTCGAAGTACCACTTCAAAACAGAATGGAACTGGAATTACCGCTTCCCGGATCCTTGCACTTGTCACTTTATTTCAACGTAAAGTTTGGTTTGCGTATGCTGCTTAGACTTGAATATATAAAAAGCACCTTTTTCAGCCCTCAGTCGCGCGCGCGCCTCATGCGCTGCAAGCCTGGGACCACTACTAGACTAGCATTGTCACGACATCTACAAAGCTGCCATATACTGAAGGGAAAGGAAGCAGTTCTAACGAGCTCTTCTCAAACACAAGGATATAACTTGTGAACTTGGCTAGTATATATGAAACATTTGATATGGAGTTGTAGAGGGAGTTATGTGCCTCGCCGGGCTAAAGTAGTGGATGACCTTGCTGTACGGCAAGTTAAACAAGGATCTGAAACTACTAGGTTCCGTACAGACTCAACTCTGCACCCGTGTCAATATGTTCATTATATGCAAGCCTCTTGATTTATAATCACCGAGTCTAGTAATTGTTTAAGAGAGTTCTCTGGCAGTTACGAAACTCGAGAGACTGTGGGATATATATATAATACTGAAGGGAAAGGAAGCAGTTCTAACGAGCTCTTCTCAAACACAAGGATATAACTTGTGAACTTGGCTAGTATATATGAAACATTTGATATGGAGTTGTAGAGGGAGTTATGTGCATCGCCGGGCTAAAGTAGTGGATGACCTTGCTGTACGGCAAGTTAAACAAGGATCTGAAACTACTAGGTTCCGTACAGACTCAACTCTGCACCCGTGTCTATATGTTCATTATATGCTTGACCATTGTTAATGATCTGACCCGGCGCGCGCTAACTAAACATTTCGAGAAGAAAGCGGCGCGCGCTACTTCGAAGAAATTTAGACGAGTAACATCCGTCAAATTATATGCAAGCCTCTTGATTTATATACACCCCCCGCGCGTGAGGGCACGTTTTTACTAGTAATTTGCGACATTACTTTATGGATATCGAATCTCGTGACTTCAACGAAGTGCCGGGGACAAGTTTTCAATAATTCAAAAACTTTTCAGTTCCTCTCGTTTTAAGCATCGTTAGGGCTTTCCCAGAAACTAACTCTCATCATCCTAGGATAATCATGTGTCGCACAGCACTTGTTTCAGTAGACAGTGTACTCGCCTTTACGAGAGAATGACGTGTACGTTTCGGTCACCTGCGGAAAAAGGAAGTGAGATATCGAAAATCTGAGACAAACCCGATCGATAAAATCCTTTCAGGTAGGTGCTAGTCAAGATTTCATCTCTTTAGACATTAAGATGGCTTCAAACACCTCACAAAAAGTTTTCAAAAGTAAAATCTACTCGCGACTTACTAAAACCACCATAAAACGTGCCCTCATAGATTTTTGAGGGCAAGTTTTTGAGCGCGCCGTGTGACTTTGTCTCAGCAACAGCGAGTATAGTTACAATCTCGCAACTATGAACAGACAAGGAAAATATTGTATTAATATCTGTCAAAGGAATTTAATGTATTTTAACAACTTGTTCTAATAATGCTAATAACTAATCGATGAACCACATAAATGGTCGGCCCGGTGTGAGTGTATAGTATTGATTGTGCTCTGAAATGGGGCGCTGTTATTGGTTAATACAGCGGCCAATCAGGATCGAGCTGGTTTGTGGCTGCAGTCCAAATTTAGGATCATATCTGATTAGGTACCTAATTAGTGATTATGCACTTTAAAGTAAGATTAACTCGGTATTCACAATCCACATTAAATCGCTACATGTTGCAAATCAGCTGATATTTGTAACTTTAAAAAATAATTGTAACTTATATATTTATACAGCTCCCCAGTTTAACAAGCATTCAGGATAGAAGAACCAGCAGCGGTTAATGACACTAAAACAGAAGTGGAGAACAGTAAGAACAGCAGAAAGAGTGGAGTGAGATAAATATCTTCTCTTTTTCTGCACTGGTTACTGATACTCAACAGTTATTCAAGAAAATTCTGGCCTGGGTTGTGTTTTAAAATTAGATATAGCCAGGTCCATGTCAGTTTTGTTTATGATCTATTTATCATGAAAAATGATTGTGCTCGGAGTGATCTGGGCAAAAATTAGCTCGACCTCCACGGGGCATCGAACATGCGACCCACCAACGCTCTAACCTTCACGCCACTCGGGTAGTGTACTGATTAAAATTGTGATGTCTATATAGTGCTTATTTGGCAGAAATTAGTACCTTATACAATTCTCAATTTCGAGTTTGACATGATTGTAATCGGGAAGTGGGAACATTAAACAACTCTTCTGCATTTAATTGGAACTGTCTGTACAGTGTACACGATAAAATACATTGGGTAATTACAAAGATTGTGTACAGTGCATTCGGGGGCTTTGCTTTTGACTGATTTATCTTCCGGACAGTTCTTGGAAGTTCAATTAAAACCAGTGCAGTAGAAGAGTAAACTTGCATGAGAGTTAAAATGGTACTATTATAATTTGTGTTGTCAGGTAAGATTTCAGTTTGCACTTTGATTAATTGGTATGTGATTGATATGCTGATTACAGATTACTGATAAAGATTGTTACATGTACAATTCAGAAAAATGTGTACATCAAATGAGAGTCTAACTGTCTTCTCATTTAACCTCTTAACTGACAAGTGACATGTCAGAAACATGAGTCGTCTTATAATGATACAAACACTATATAATATAATTTTCACGTTAAGTAGTGAGTAGTCAGCTTGACCTTGATTGGTTGCAGACAATTGTTAATGTGGATTGTGAATACCGAGTTGATCTTACTTTAAAGTGAATAATCACTAATTAGGTACCTAATCAGATATGATCCTAAATTTGGACTGCAGCCACAAACCAGCTCGATCCTGATTGGCCGCTGTATTAACCAATAACAGCGCCCCATTTCAGAGCACAATCAATACTATACACTCACACCGGGCCGACCATTTATGTGGTTCATCGATTAGTTATTAGCATTATTAGAACAAGTTGTTAAAATACATTAAATTCATTTGACAGATATTAATACAATATTTTCCTTGTCTGTTCATAGTTGCGAGATTGTAACTATACTCGCTGTTGCTGAGACAAAGTCACACGGCGCGCTCAAAAACTTGCCCTCAAAAATCTATGAGGGCACGTTTTATGGTGGTTTTAGTAAGTCGCGAGTAGATTTTACTTTTGAAAACTTTTTGTGAGGTGTTTGAAGCCATCTTAATGTCTAAAGAGATGAAATCTTGACTAGCACCTACCTGAAAGGATTTTATCGATCGGGTTTGTCTCAGATTTTCGATATCTCACTTCCTTTTTCCGCAGGTGACCGAAACTGGAAACGTACACGTCATTCTCTCGTAAAGGCGAGTACACTGTCTACTGAAACAAGTGCTGTGCGACACATGATTATCCTAGGATGATGAGAGTTAGGTTCTGGGAAAGCCCTAACGATGCTTAAAACGATAGGAACTGAAAAGTTTATGAATTATTGAAAATTTGTCCCCGGCACTTCGTTGAAGTCGCGAGATTCGATATCCATAAAGTAATGTCGCAAATTACTAGTAAAAACGTGCCCTCACGCGCGGGGGGTGTATAGCCTGACTGACAATTTTCTCGACTGACTGACAATGTTTCTTCTTTTCCCCATTTAGAATACAAAGATTAGTACATTTTAGCTTATGATTAATATTATATTTTTACCTATAGTTTACCTAGATGCAGAATTGCCGATTGCGTTGTTTTTCAACACTATCTGGTGGATCGCAAATATGAAATAGCTTCCTTAATTTGTTGTGTTATGTAGTCCAATAGACTTGTGGCATCTCAGAGATTGCAGAACGTCAAGGCAATATACTAAATTAATACTTAAGTAATTCACTGTGAGTCTGAGAGATAATAAGTTAAAGCGATGGCAATGTTAATGTTCAGTGAGCTAGCGTTATCGGAGAATTCGACGCAAAAGATTCGTAGGAATATTCGAGACAGGGAGTGGACAGGATCGTAAGATCAACCAAAGTACGATCCAATCTTGTTAACATAATGTCTACACCGTTAACCAGCCACGTGTGACGTTTCCCCCTTGATGATAAGCGATGGGTCAACTCCTACCATACCACCGGAGGCCTTGGACAATGGAAAACACCTCAGTAAAAAGTGGGAAACTATCGAAACCAGGTCGCTGCTTCTGGACGATATAAAGGATCAGGATCAGGATCATATTTAAATTTTAGAAGTGTTATTTATATAATAATACCACTTCATAACATGTTGAATTTTATTTCTGTCAATAATTGTTGCTAAGAAATTCCCCAATTTCAAAAAAAGGTTGTTACTGCTAAATAAAGAGTTTAATAACACGACTCCTCTCAGTTCCACAATCGGGAGTATAATACCAGTGATAACACGAAAATAGGAACCCTAGCATTTATGATTTATTGATACGAAGTTTGTTGTGGAATGCCGAATGTGGTATCACGATTGGATCAACGTTTCACAAGGTATGACCAATGTTACAAAAAACTGCAGCTAAAAACCACCATACCACTCTCATGGTACTACTACTAACCAGCGCTACATTTTTAGCTTTTGGTTTTATTTTTGGGCTCCGTACCCAATACCCTCGCAACTATCTAACAAATTACTCCTTGATTTAGTTGTATAAGAATAAGAGAGCTACTCACACAAATTCCGTCCTTGAGCCTCAAATTTTGTGCCATCAATCCCTAATAACTTCCTCTGAAACAAATTATTCACACACATGCAACAAAATGTACTAGTGTACTATTTGTAATGTAATGCTGCAACTTTGACTTTTGAATTAGCTCTATGCTATAAGTTAAACTTCACACTTGATAATTTGTATGGATTCTTTCGGTATTTTATACGTGTGCCTACTTCTCACACGCGTGCCTACTCTACCGATATTCCTCATCCTCGTAGCCGCGTTCAGCTCCCTGATAATAACACTCCCTCTCATTATCCTCCTCCTCACCCTCCTCCTCCCCCACCGGACCAGACCACACCAGGAAAGTGTGATCGACTCCCAGGACAGTATCATCGTCCCGTACGACCCATGTGTAAGCATCACACCGGGGCTGCATTGCAGCTCTGCTGTTACAACTTGCCCCTCTGCCATGGGGCACAGTCCGTGTTATTCCAAGAGGAGGAGTCTTACTGGGGAGTATTTTAGAACTGTGCTGGGAATGGAGAAAAAGGTGCCGCTATCGGCTGTTATTGTGGTGGATGATCTCAAGGTGAGGTTATATTTCCTAATTAATTATAATTATTTTTATTAATTGTAATTATTAATCATATAAGGTTAGATGTTGTCGGGTAGTTCGCCTTGCTAACTTATTTATTAGTTACGTGATTAAAACGCAACGAAGATTGTTATCGTTATGTCTTTTGGCTTTTTGGTGATCTGAGTGGATATCCCCAAACCGGGAGGTTTACATTTACCGTAATAAAAAACTCAGGAAGCTGAGGACGAGCACCCAAGATCAACTTCAAGCGTGAAAAGACAACGAAAGCTGATGAAATCGATTGAGAAATCCTTCAAGACAGGAGATAGTAGTTCTAGTAATAGAGAGAAAGTAAGGAATTCGGCGCGGTTGTGGAGTACCCTGTCCAACGAGATCTCTTCCGTTATTCAAAATGTGAAAAGAAACATACCCAGGTTAGATATACGTACTGAATTGATATATAACATAATACAACCTTTAAATCTTCCTTCAAGTTCAGGCCCTTCTCCCAGTTTCCACCAACTTTCCCTTTCTACTCAACTTTCCCTTTCCCTTTCTACCCAACTTTTTCTTTCCCTTTCTATCCAACTTTCCCTTTCTTTTTTCATCCAACTTTCCCTGTATTTTTCTTTCCTCCGCTTCAGTACTTGCCCGGTCTCCTACGAACTTAATTCACCCAAATTGTTTTAACTTAACATTCTGGTGTTATATAAATCATTGTAGTAGAAGTATAATTCTACAGTAAGGTAACCTTATTTGATCTATTGAGTTTGGCAAATTAATTTGTGTTCAATTTCAGGCACAACACAGACAGTATTTCCTCTGAAAACTCAGTCTCGAGCGAAGAGGGATTCGAAGAAGATTCTGAAGAATACAGCAATGCCCCGACCCGTATATCCATGACCAGTCTAAATAAAGAAACCAAAACAACCTGTGCTAATATTGTATCTGAGACTGGGGATGATCTACCGGAACACTCCGGAGCGACCCACAAAACCAGAATCAACTCTGTCTCCAGTGATCCATCCTCCAAGAAGAAAATCTCCCTCTCAGCATGGAATGGAGAGGACAGTTTATCGAGGAGACTTGGTCGGTCTCTTAATATCAAGCAGGGTTCTATTAGGAAGAAGGGAAAAAGCTTTTTATCTAGCTTGGAAGACATGCTGCAGAAGACTGCATCTAGGAAAGCTGCTGCATGCATGCAGAGGGAGGTCGGCGTTAAAACGGAAGATGGGGCTGGAACGAGTGGGAATGAAAGCAAAAGTGACAAGAATTTGAGTGGAATAAAAATTAATCATGGAGCTGTATCAATATTGAACATCGAGTCATTCGAACAAACAAACTCAATGGCTGCGGATGGTTGTTTTGAAATGGACTGTGATGCTAAGACTAGACTAAAGTGAAGATAGTTCATGAACAGAAACTGGAATCGAATAAACTTTCAAGTGGTTCTTAATTTATTTTCCATTTCACATTACTGAGACATTAAGTAGTCGCCTACTGTACAATAAGATATTTACTCATAAAACTTTTAAAATATATTCTGATGAAATGATTAAACTGATTTTTTTATGAGTCTGTAAATCGATATTATATGATTTATAGAAGTCATGCACGCAGTACATCGGCATGGATATTAATTATTAGTAACAGAGCGTTATGTTTATAGGTTTATGATCAATGATATCATTATTTTTCTTGTCATGAAATAGTTTTTCAGTTCTCAAAACTTGATCCATTATACTAACAGCAAATAGTTCTAAGATGTACCATATTAATTTGCTTATTCAAACTCTTTACCCACTTTTTCATATTTGCAGCTTGTTTCTTTGCAAACCAAATCAGTTTCAAACTGACCGCCCCGCCCGGCTGTTGACGACTTCAATTATCTGAAAAGCGCTAGAAAAATCCTCTGGCATGGGACAGTTCAAAATATAAATTTTCTCAGGATGACATCAGATTCTTTGCCGCTTCCCCGAAATAGTTTTCAAAAACAGGCGAAGTGTTAACCTCCGGACTATAGCTGTGGTATCTTGTAATAATCCTATGTTTAGGAGACACTATCCTCACAAACATCTTGGCATCTCGTTCGTATCTCGTTGTTTTCACTGCAACCTCCCGTTGTCTGGTTTCTCTGATTGTTGTCGTGTTGTTGTCTTTTGAAACTGATATCGTGGTGTCTTCCGTAGCTGACAAAGCCATTACTTTTCTTTGACCGTCTTCTGTGACAAGATCCTTAACAGCGGTGGTTTGGTTTCGAAGAGAAATTGTTTTTGAGGAAGTATGCACACCGGTTGAAATGTTTTTACTGCAGATTATCGGGGACATTTTCATGTCTTCAACAATGATCAATTTTTTGTTGTTATCATCAGATGACAGTTTCAGAGCCTCATTACGGTTATTGCTCTCTCCATTTGTCACGCACTTCTCACTGACGGCCTGGTTTGAAGTCTGATCACTGTAGAACTTCAACTCCTGATTTACCATATTTTCTGCGTCTTCCAGGATGGAAACTATGTCATTTTGGGTTTCCATGCTGTTTTCTTCAGTCTTATTCTTTGAAGAGTTCTCCAGTTTCTTCTCGGCCACCTTTTCTGTTGGTGCTTGTGGTGATTGTAGTGCTTGTAGTGCTTGTGGTGCCTGTGGTGCTTGCGGTGCTTGTGGAGACTTTTTGCCAGCCTCCACTACACTAGACCCCTCCTTCTCCGTCTTCTCAAAGTGCAAAATACTATCAATCTCAGACTGCAAATTTGAGATCCTCTTCAAAAATACCGGTTTCACGTCCAGAACCAGCTTGTGAGTCTCACATATTCCAGCTAGATACCCAACGTTATGTTCAGTGAGCACTAACTTCTCTGGTGCTTTGAAAAGTGTGATAGTGTCAGCTACAAATTCCTCAGAGCACGTGATTCGAACGTCTTTAGCTTTCTTCGAGGAGACTTTCAATTTGAACTTGTTCGAACCGTTGATGATTATCTTTATTGATTTCATCTTCTATGGTGGTTGGAAGGATTAACGATTGTACATAATTAGCTTATAATTGGTTTATAATTGGTTTATAATTGGTTCATAACTCGCCGAATAGTATTGGACTGGACAAAAAAATGGAAAAATGTAATTCAAAACTATTCGATTGACTAATGAACTAGCTTTTAACATCGTTATGGTATAAGCATATTATGTTACTTTCTGAAAAATGTTTAGCTAGTTCTTATTTTGTCATAGTCATCATTCATAATATTACTATTAGACTTAAACCATCAATATTTCTTTTAAACTAAAGCCGTAAATCATCAATTTTTCTCCAAAATGATGGACACAAAAAATCAGGAAAAGAAGTAAAAATCGATACCTACCATATATTTTTTAAAACGTGCATTTTGCCAGGTAAATTTACTCAAGAAAACTAAAAAATACTCAAATGACAAATCGGGCGTTTTTTTCATTTAAAAAAACTTAATTTCAGGAAATCGCCGCCTCCTAATAAGCTAATATGCTTAGTGGGGTTAGCGAGGTGGTCGTTACGCCACTGTGTAACAAACCTATACTGCAAACAAAAGGAACGGACAATTAAGTCTACACAAAAACGTAGCCCCACAGGCCACAATGTGTACATGAACTATATGAGGTCACTACAACCAGAGGGACCCGTCTCCAATTGCAATTAATCGGATCATTCCTTTACTTTTCACGTCCCAGCTATTTCTACAGTTATCATGCAATTACAATTTTGTACTATTGGATTCTGGACTAATTAAAGTATTTAGGAAATTATATGGTAAAATGTTCGAATGAAGGGAGAAAAACTCGATCGATGGATGTTAAATTGACTACCACACACTGTATAAATCCAACAAACAAAACACTAGGTTGAAACTACAACTGGGGTTGACCAATGTTGAATAAATTAAAGATAAATCTGCAATGCCAATAGCTCAATTAAATATTTGAGATGTTTAAGATAGTAAGAATATGTCATTATACTGATTCAATAAATTCAATATGTTACATGATCATTCAGTTGCACATTAACTTTAACAATAAGATTATAATTTGTACTATATATAATTATCATGTGTTATATGTGTAATAAATTACCTCATTAAGCTACTCAATGTTGTAATAAATGTATAATGTATAACTATAAGATATTATAACTAAAGAACAGACATTCTGCATCATTGATAGGATTAGGAACCAATAGGGAAAAAAGGAGAAACACAAATTATAAGCATGAAGAGTAACAAAAAATGTTTTTTGCAAAACAACGAAAGTATTATTAGATTAATTTACAAAGGGTTGCATTGATCCCTTTGAAGGCAATAAATATCCGGCAAACAAAGGGGGAGGTAAGATTTACATTTCACATGAAACCAATTCTACGGGAAATAGTCCGTTATAGGATTAGGCCTGTTCAATAGTTAATACATGGGCCTAATAAATTGGAGGCCCGGTAGCATAAGATGGATCACTATTAACAAAGGTTTACGTTGTACATTGTACAAAGAATTAAACACTAGCTTTATGAGAGGGCAAACAAATGTACCACACCAACAATGAGACTTCTGCGGTAGTTCCGTGTGTTTATTATAGCAATACGTTAAGTAAACAATACAAACAGGTTCACAGATGTGTTTGGTTAATCAGATTACTTACAATAGCAGTTACAAACGTTATAATGACCCACAACGACCAACTATCAGAACAGGGAACAAAGACCATCATGGGTTAGATTAGGGGCTAGGGCCCACGCACATATACTGTAGCTGTAGTCTGTATGGGGTGTTATTGTGTTAAACTCTATTATAATGAGTCGAGCGAACTGCACGTACACAGGAATTTAAGGAATTTGACCGCTTTAAACGGACACAATCAAATATATTCGTAGGTGTTCTTTATTTAACCAAAACAGAATTCAGAAGGCGTAAAATTTACGAACGTTAACTCTCGAAGTGTGATTAGTTTTAATTTGGTTTAAAACTATAACAAAAGCACGATACCACCGGTCACTAATAGTAAGACCGATTGCGTGGTCATTTGCGATGGACCGTTAACAATGAAATACGTTGGAAATGAAGAATAATATGTTGTGATGACGTCTATATCGCGGTTGGCATCACATAAATATCATAATTTATGCAACCTGAGAATAATATAAATATGTTCGTATTAAAACTAATAAAGTAATAAGTTGGCTATTGTGGCCTGGCCACAGCTAGAAGTAGAGGTACTATAAATTAGAAGAGTTAATTTTTCAAATTAATACGTGAAATTGTTGAGTGTACAAACTACAAAAACGAATTCCAAACGTCTGATCGGATTGAAACGTGAAAACTGTACTCAAGGTCAAGTTATGACCTAAAACGTCAGCGGTCACTACTTCTGCTTTGAATTGTGTGGCGGTGCATTGTTACAGCACTGGCTCTGAATATTATCGTGGAGAGATATAAGAATCAACGTAGTAGATAAGTGGAAGCCGCCAAGTTGCACACAATATTCGTAGTACTAGAATATAAACGTATCTCTAATCTTCAAATGGGTTGTAAAAAGTGAAAAACATTGGCAGAATATAGGAAATCGCAGTACGACGAATCCAAGTGCAAGAGCATGTAGTATGTTTTAATGTTTGATTCGATAATATGAGAATTGACTTTATCGAGTCTCAACAGTCTACTCAAATGACTTATTAGTTATTTCATTCTTCTCCAAGTTATTAAGTTATAACATCATGATCTCACCTCACCAAAAAATAAGTAAGCAAGATCATTGGTGGTGACAATTATGACGCACAGTGAGATCAAACGAAACCTTTTAATCTGTAGAAGCACACTTTGGGAACATCTGGGCACATTCGATATGTTATTCAGACGTGTTACCTGGGGACCCTAGGCTATAATGTTCATAAACAATAAAGATTCGGCGGAATAACAGGCACCGCCCAGTATAAACAGACGTACTGTTGACAATCAAATCGGCGGAATGACAGGCACCGCCCAGTAACAGACGTACTGTTGACAATCAAATCATAACCTGAAATAAATCCAAGTCCTTCGCAAAAATTATGTTTTCAATAATTAAACAAAATCTGTATATAACTATGTACCGTTACCATGGTGATCCATTAAATTGAAAACAACGCAATCATTATCCAACTGAAAGTGAAACTGAAAGATCAATAAAGTTGTAAAACTTAAAACACTACAGCTACAGTCTACACCAAGTCTACAAACTGAGTCTACAAACTGAGTCTACGATCTGTAACAAAAGACAAGATCGCACAGAACACGGATCTAGGAGACGTGTTACTACAGGTGTCCAATCAGGATCTCATCTGTTGCCAGTAATATGATATGTTATTAACACTGCAATATAGCCCTGGTAATGAGCCTAGTAAAGTAGTAAC